TGATGCACTGGAGCTCCTGGACACGCCCCTACTTGATGACGCACTGAGGCTGGCTCCTCCCCTAACAATAGAGCACATTCAGTTTGGCGCTCAATCGCGACTTACTGTCAGTACTATTAGTTACTACAGCCTACAGTTTGCTAGCTAGCTATGCCTTCGACACGGAAATGCGTAGGCTACTACCTGGATGCGATCATGTACAAAACAGATCGGTGTCTTTATTTAAATTTCCTAAAAACGATCACATCAAGAAAAGGTGGATTCATTTTGTGAAGAGCCAACCTTGATGAATAGCTGAGGATCACCGCCAACACCCGCCTCTGTAGCGATCATTTTACACGGGATAGTTTTATAAACTTTCGTTGGAGACAACTGGGATTCACTGATAATCCGCTGTTACTGGTGAATGGGGCCGAACCGACTATCCTCGGCCTTCATCCTCCCGTCCCGAAAGCAGTATCACAAATATCACTGTCGGCTGCTTTCCCGCGAGTGGGCGTGGTTTCAGCGCAGCGAGCGGACACGCCCCCAGCGTTTGAGAGAAGAGACTACTGCTCATTTTTTCAAGATTTTGATAGCTTATTTTATGTACTTGCCGGCTATTTTTATCATTCAAATTTGTCTGGGTGGCTAATAACACATTTTTCTGTGTTGTGACAAACTCAGAACACATACTTAATTTTTACTTTACAGGGACTATAACGCTTGTCAATGGAGCGATGCCAGACTCTATGTACAAATGAAATGTACATTGACCATAAATGCCTGACAATTAACCACTACCAACTCCTTACCAGGACCTACCAGCGAAAATTACCTCATAGGAAAAGAAGTGGTTCAATCATATACAAATACAATTAAAACCGGACGTTCAAAGTTGATTTGGGTTTGCGGACAGAAAGTCGCCTAGCACTGCTGGAGTGGCGACTGTATGAGATAAGGTGTGGAAGTTAATCAAATGTAACATGTTGGCATGGCCTGGATGTAGGAGGGTGCTTGTCTGCCTTGTAGCTAAGCCAGAACAAGTGTTATGAATTTCACCTTAGCTTGAATAGAGAATCAGGGAAGGGACGGTCTGATGACAAAGTACTGTACTTAGGTTCAATATCAGCTGAGGAACAGAGTTCTGCATTATCTGCCAAGGTTACACTGAGAGACTGGACAGGAATGATATACTGTATGTAGACTAGGTCCAGTACTATGATCTGAGCAGCTTGTCTAGAAAGAAAAGGTCTGACTCTGCAGAAAGAATTAATTGACTGCACAGTCAGAAAAACGTGCGTTTAGCTGTACAACAGCTTGTAACTGGGGCAGTACACGTAAAAGCACAACTTTGTACTTGGTACTAATATGCACAATTTAGTACTAAGTAGGGGGGCAACGATATCCTCATGTCACGATACAACTCACGATATAATATTATTGCAATACTCCAAGACATGATAAAAAGTTAACAAAAAATGAACTGTTGATTAAAATGCTAAATTTGTTATTACATTGGGTGTGTAAATGAATAGGCTTGGACTTGGTGCTGGAAACCCAATGATCACAATGGTGACACCAGAATAAAAATATTCATGATTCTGAAGCTGAAAATACAGAATTATTTTAGATGAAAATGCTTGCACACTGTCACTGACTAGATATATTTTTAAAAAATGCACTTTTTACTCGTAATATAAGACATTTGGCACGATCAGGACCCACAAATATTCCCCCATTGCATTATTATTATATTCAACATTATATATACAGTACAGTAGTAGTTTAATATAGCACTGACACCAAAACTCTGTAAACTTTTTTCACACACAGTAATTTTATTTTTGGGTGAACTATACACGATGCATGTTGTCACTATCCATGATACACATTGATATATTGTGACACCCCTAGTACCTATGTACCATTAAGCTACTACTATGAACCTTTTAGGGGTGAATAAGATAAGGTAACTGCCCCAGATGAGCTGTCGTACCCCCTAAAGGTACATTATTTTCTGAGAGTGTGGATAGTATGTGGGATGCATATGACAGACCGTTGTCCAGTGTGGTGCCAAGGTTCTTGGCTTTATGTGTGGGGAAATGACTGTGTTGTCTATGACGAGGACTTGGCAAGGATGTTTCTTGGCTGGGATATAGAGCAGTGTAGTTTTCAGCAAATTCCACTTCAGAGGATGGGCATTTATCCATGCACAAATACTTCCAGGCATTTCCAGGTGGTAACTTTACTAAGCAATTTGGTATGAAGTCAGAATACTAGTACCAATCTTTGTGGAACACGAATGGGTAGTTGGTGTGGAGATCAAACAGATCCTTTTGATGATATCTGGTTATTTCGGTTCTAAGCCTGTAATGTCTACTTCATTGAGAGTAAATAATAGGGTTTGGTGGTTCGCAGTATTGAATGCTGTTGATAGATATAGTAGAATGCATCCCTGGTGTACTTTGGTCATGCTTCTGGGTGCTTTTAGATTAAATGAAAACAAAACATTAGGACAATGCAACATCACAGCAGCTATGCCCAACAGTAGCACAGAATAAGAATAGGCTCATTGACTGCTGCTTACGCTAGTGGCTTGTACTAAGTCCTTTTTACCAATGATTTGCCTTGTGTCCTCTAAGCATTTACTTAGTAACACGCAATTTGAGCAACAAAGGATATTAATGTCTACAATTCTAAATATTATTAGACATGTTTTTGTGTCAATACAATTGAGCTTTAAGAAGTATTTCAATAGAATGTTTTCCTCACTGTAACTAAAAATGAAAATGATAATTTACTTCAACGGCCAAGATAAATAATACCTCAAATTTGAAGTTAGATTTTCACCAAACCTTATCGTATACCCCCAGAACACTTGACATATACGACACGTGTAGCATGGGATCATTCTGTAACACTTTTGTCTTTTTTATGACTTAATTTCCATTTTAGGGTGAACAATCCCTTCAATTGCAACAATAACATACTCTCAAACACAAGTAGTGCAGTTATAAGATTGACCCTTACATTTTGGCATTGATAGTTTAAAGTTAAAATTGCGATCACATTAGTTAAGATAGTTAAAAGCAATCACATTAGCTAAACTTAGGCAAAATTTAGTGTGCAATAAATGGTACATTGCCAGAAGTATTGCGATTTATAAAGCACAGGTCACACTGAAGTCACGTGGCTAAATCTTATCTAATTTGCAAAGCAACGGTAAATGTGCACCTAAATATCTATATGTAAAAATCTATATGTATATATCCAATCCATAGTGTATAATAAATATGTTTTTGTCATAAAAAACATACTGCACAACAGGAATAGCTCAGTTGTGATCACTTTAGAGAAATGTCATGCATGAAAAAAAAAAGTCCATTGTCTAATCAATAGTGTAAAGTTGGATGAAGCAAAACTTACACAGAAGTCACTTTCAAACCAAGCAGAAATGACTGGATTTTGCCCACGCAAGTTTGCAGAGCAGCTGTAAGGGCCCTATTTTAACGGTCTAAGCGCATGGTCTAAAGCGCAGGGCGCAAGTGCACTTAGGGCGTGTCCGAATCCACTTTTGCTAGTTTAACGACGGGAAAAATGGTCGGCGCGCCAGGCACATGGTCTAAAAGGGTTGTCCCTATTCTCTTAATGAGTAATGGGTGTGTTTTGGGAGTCTCCTCTCCCATTCCCTTTAAATGCCAGTTGCGCTGGCGCCATGGCGGATTTGCTATTTACATGACGGAATTTGATAGTGGAAAAAAAGACTGAAAGCGTCTCCCAAACGGAACTGCTCGTGCGCGAGGTAAAAGTGTGCAAGCAGATCATCTATATACGGGACAAGCCGGATTCCACCATATCTTTATGTGCACAGTAATAATCTTTTACATTGTAATCCTTTTATTTAAATATGTTGGCATGTTTGTGTGCTGTTGTGCGTCCCTGTGTGTTTAATAAGCAGAGTGTACGCGCGTTGTGGCCCCGCCTATAGGTAACGCGCTCTTTAAATAACGAAACAAAAAAAATTGCGCCTTTGACTTTAGACCAGGTTTCAGTTGGTCAATGGCTCAGTCTATTTCTGTTGCCTCAAAATAGCAACGCACCAACAATGTGCCTAAACACACCTCGTTTTCAGACCAGCAGCCCATGGGCGCACAAATGGGCGCAAATGCATTTGCTATTTAAACAACGTGGCGCAGGACGTGAAAATGATAACTGCGTCGGGCTGAAACTAGCAAAAAACACTTGCGCTGCGCTTGGCGCTGCATTGCGCCAGGTGTAAGATAGGGCCATAAATGTGACCTCACCTTTATTTCTTGAAAGAATCAAAGACGAGTACTCTTGATTCTTGAGTCACCTCAAAGGGCCTTGTGATTCATTGCCATTGCAATAAATCCCCTAGAAAGGGAATCACTATGGCAATCCCAATTCCTCAATGCCAGGCTGTTCCCCATTTTAATTGATAACCTTAGTTCTAGATGTACTTTCTCTCTGTCCACTTCTGCAACACATATTTATTTGGCTGCATACCGTTGGCATAGATGTGCTTTTCCCAGCATGGGCCTAGGAGAGAGAGGACGGAGGGGCCTTTTCAGGCTGGGAGTGACAGATCTTTTATTGAAAGAGACTGGGCCCCCCTCATACACACACACACACACCATGCCCTCCCCATCTGTGTCTGGGCCATTGTCACCAGGCTTGGTACTCCTGAAGTACCCCCCACCCCACCCCTCCAAGGGTCTTTGTCACTGTAAGTCCCTCTGCAGACTGAAACAGTGCCAAAGCTCAGATACACACACACATAATGTGTCCTTTTCCCTATAGCTCATTCAGAAAGGCCCTTTGCTTGTCAGAATGCATCGAGCAGGTCTGCGCAGATCGAGAACGCTCTACCGAATGGAAAAATGGGGAGAGAGACTTATGCCATTATCTAGTTTTGGCTAGTAGTGTGTGTGTCGATATTGACAGCATTCCTCTAGAGATAAACCCTCTGGCCTCAAAGCCCCCAGCCCCACCCATCCCCTCACAAGTATAAGTGTGTGTGTGTGTGTGTGTGCAGGGGGAAAGGGGCAGTGCCCGGACCCCTACACCCAGATAGTGTAACAGGAAAGCAGTGAGGCAAAGACGTAGAGAGGGTGCACTGGGATGCCAATGAACACCATAATTTGTGGAGTAAGTACAACTTTCCTAAAGATTCCTTCATCTACTTTGTTGTTGTTTTTAGATGTTGCGAAGATTCTCGAATTGGTGTAGGCTAGCTCATGTCTCCAACTTACCTTTGCACCAAAATACTTCACTGTTGTCCATGGAGGCATGTTGCTTTTGAACCCCAACCCAAACTATTATATGCAGTCATATTTGTTCTATTTTTTTTTGACATTGCAGAGAGAGAGAGAGAGAGAGAGAGAGAGAGAGGGGGAATTCTGCATTGTTGCAAAATGTTCTATAAAGTAAGTTAAAAAGGTGCTTCGTGTCGTAACATGAAATTGAACTGGTTGTAAGTGTAGTATGACAGAATCAACACTGATTACACCAATAAAAGTCATTTATAAGCTCCTAAATATGGCAATTGCACATTTTATATTCTTTACATAATGTGCAAAGGATAATTATTTACATATTGTGCAAAGAATATGCATGGGACTAAAAAGAAAGACTAAGGATAAAACTTTTCACATTTATACATGAGAGGAAAAAACAGTTAAAAGTTGTTAATGGATACTTTGAATTTTTTGTTATTTAAGATGCTTTTCATTTGCCGTGGCACGAACAGAAACACCTTTGCACTTGGTTTATACATTGATGCAGGGTTCAATCAAAGTCTCACCTTCATCTTCACATAAATGACAGGAAATCTCACATTACATTCGTCCTTTGATGCAAATTTAACTTGTTCCCAAAACTTTGGACACTTGAATAACAAATAAAATGTTTTTCTTTTCTTATTTTAAAATATCAAATTAAGTGGCATCTGCAAACTAATTATTTTAATCAAATGATGTCAAGGTGAAGTCAGTTCTCCTCAAGTTCACACAGGTGTCCCAGCAGAGGAACCAATGGTGTACATCATCTCGAAACTGTCTATTTTAATATATATACTGTATAAAAAACGGTATTATTGTTCTTTAAAACAAATGCAATGCAATTCACAGACTTTTAGATGTAGCTTAAATATACAAATTCTGGCTTAAATTCTACACTTTAAAATAAAGTTTAACCCATAACACTTTAAAGGCCATTTACACGACCTAATACCTAAAAACTTTGAATGCGTTTTGGCCGTTCATTTGCACGACAGCAGCGTTTTGGGGGCCTGAAAATGCGAACTTTTGAAAATGTGTTTCAAAGTGCAAGTTTTTGAAAATGATACCGTTATCGTCTCAGTGTAAACTACAAAAACGCAACTTTGTGAAAACTGTGACCTCACGGCGTTCAGACGATAGATGCATAGTCTTTCTTTACAAAGCTACATCGCCATCTACTGGCCTGGCAGCAGAAAACAGCGTTTTTAATCGTCTTCGTGGATGCGTGTAATAGGGGAATGTTTTGACAAAGTTGTCGTCTGAAATCGAAAGACCCAAAAGAAAAAACGTTTCCGATTTGTGTCCGTGTTACACTGCAATTACACAAAGATGTACTGAGCAATATTAATTAACATCATGTACTGTAGGGTTAGGGTTTGGTTTAGTGTTAGTTGCTTGAAATTATGCATACAGTAATTAACCGTTACAGTCTTAACATTGTAAATACATTAGTAACAAGGACACAAAGTGTAACTAAAATGTGACAACACTTATAAAGGTGTGACAGCCATCTATAGTTTCAAATGTATTTGTACTTTATTTGTTTCCGCTAATCATAATTCAGGGTTCCATTGTTAATTTATCATTCAATTGCAAACATCACTGCAAGCATACTTTCTCTGCTGATAAAACATTTACAGTAGTTATCTGTAGCAGGAATGGTCAGTGAAACAAGTCTTATGTTACCCATGCACACATAATAATAGTTCTCACTCATTCTGCAGATTTCTCAGTTGGTATGAGAGTTTTTATGAGGTTTTTACAGGAGCTGCACGTAAAGACTGGAATGCTCATGATAGTTTAGCTGTCCACAACACACACATTTATGTGATGGTGTGATAATGCATCCAGTTCATCGTCTGAACTTCCGATGTGGAGAAGGAAGAAGCAAGAGAAGGCAGCAATTTGGCTGAAAGAGTTCATGCTCTCAGTCATGCAAGATTTAAGTATATATTACTAATACACGAATACAGCAATGCAATACTATGTGCGAGTGGAATTTTATGGATCCTCATTCATGGGAAATGCGCGTCACCACCTGTTCTCGCTGCTGTTCGCTACGCAAGCGGAGTTATGTTGGCGGATTGCATTATTTTGACTTCATCTATGTGTGTGTTTCTCAGTAGAGAGGGACTCGTTCCTCCACTCGCTCCGTCTCTCTCTCGGATGCAGTCATAAACACACACACTGCAGTGTTGCGTCTCAGTGATGATGTCATCCTGTCTGCTGCAGTACTCTTGATCTTAGAGAGAGGGGGAAAGCTGGGGTGGGTGCTAACATGCTTATTTATCCTTTTTCCTAAAATTATTATAGGTTTTATTAGCTATATTAACGTTGGCATTTGCGTTTTTGCAAGATAATTACAGCATTGCATTGAAAGCTTGATCATTCACAATGAAGAATCAACAGGACTGCATTGCTCTAATAAATGTCCATTTATTTTGTTTCTAAAATCATGCTTTCATAACAGTACTTGTTAGGATGCATTTTCCAAGAAAACCTATCTATTGTGGCAGCTATTGAATCATGCAATATTAATAAGCTATCCATGTGGGGGTTTAGATTTTGGTGGACATTCATTCTTTATTTATGCTTTATTTCATTTTGAACTGGAAGGGTCAAAACAGCATCTTTTGCTGCGTTTGGTTTGTTGGAGAGTTTGGCAACCCAGAGTTAAAGTATTAGGTGTGGTCTACATGATCGCCGCCTCTGCCTTATCATCTGCAAACACACTCAAATACAGCGATTGCACTTTTTACATATGTTCTCCTTAAATGGTTCAGTTTTAAAAACGCATTAATACGTTATTGAAATGACTAAAAAATAAAAAGACTGGAGGACTAAAACATCAAGATTTGAATCATCTTAATTATTGAGATGTCACTCATCCTAATGTTTTTAGCAGTAACCCACAAAAACCAACCAACTTATATACCAACCTATGACTTTGATTAAATAAGCAAAAAAATTAAATTTATTGTGATTTTCAGACTAAAATGAATTAGGTTTTTTTATTTGAGATTTGAAATATCAGACTTTTTATGGATGGCATGATGCCATCTCTTTTGTTTTGTCTGTGCAAAATAGCATGTGGTGTTAGGATAGACAACTGTAAAAATCATATGTAAAAAATAAAATAAAACATAGAGCCAAAGTTACATTGGATTTTTGAAGTGTGCATGTGCATGCGTGCTTTTTGTGCCAGTATTTCCTATAAGCATTGCCTCTGCGCAACAGAGTGTGTGACTGTTCAGGTTTCATGTTCAGGTTAATGTTTTTAGTGGTAAGTTCAGAATTCTTACAAGGTCAGAACGTGCCGGCATTATCTCTGCTGCTTTAAATAGTTTTTCCATGTAAACGTTGCACCGTGACTCGCGGAGAGATGGGGGAGAGAAATTGTGCTCCTAGTTCTTGGGAGGTCACCAAGTCATCCCCATGCCAACTCACACTTTGTTGTTCTGCATGTGTGCCGTGTCTCCATGTACTTGTCAAGGATGTTTGATCAGTGAGAGTAGCCCTGCTGCTAGGGAAGGTACACACTCTCACACATTCCGATTGTCATCGCCACAGCAACAACGGAACCGATACAATGTACTTAAACTGATTCCAAAGAACATCTCAGTTTCAAGGACGTGTTGATTTGTGGAAATCTGTTCATATGCACTTAAGACACAGAAGCGGATCCACGTGTGGGATTCAAATCTAAGGGTGTTGGTTGGAATTTTTGTAAATGTGTATCTAAATAATTTTTCTAGAAATCTTTCAGTCTTTGGCTAAAGATGTGAACGCTTCTTCGTACACTGAGGCCCCGTCCACACTACTGCGTTTTCGTTTAAAAACGGAGATCTTTTGCTACGTTTGCACCTCCCGTCCACACTAAAACGGCAAAAACGGAGACCCAAAACGGAGAAGTTTAGAAACGCTGCCGATCCGTTTTTCGTTTTGAATCTCCGGAGGGCGTTTTAGTGTAGACGGGTCAAAACGGAGGACTTTAGAAACGATGACGTAGTAGAGGCTCACGCTCGGCTCTATGATTGGGTGTCATCAGTCGTGGCGTATATCTTTGCTAGCAGCTGTTGTACAAGTAAATTCTGCATTTTACAACGCTATAACTGCCTACATGCGCCGGAGTCAAGCTATTATTCGAGCGATCTGTGACAATTCCCGTGTGCAGCGGCGGCGTTGACCGTACATGGAGCGTCGGTTTGGGATTAACCCAGAGCATGGTGGGATAATTTTATCAATGAAGTTGTGTTTACACCGGCACGCGCATGCCCAGTGTTGGTGAATGGTCACGTGATCCGCGTTTTCAGTCGTTTTAATGTGGACGGAGATCAATTCTAATACGCAGCTAAAACGCTGGTGTGGACGGAGATCGTATTCGTTTTAATTATCCGTTTCTAAACTAAAACGCAGTAGTGTGGATGGGGCCTGAGTGAATGTATTGGACAGAAGAAACCATGGTATAGTGATCAATGTTTTGTATTTATTTTAATTAATTACGCAATTTGATGTAATTCTCACACAGTTCCAGTTCCTTCATGAAAAAGTTGGTATGTGTTTGTATGCCTGTGTTGCTGAATGTGATTAAGTATAAGTTTGTCTCTCCACACACATATAATGTGTTATTTATTATTTGAGACTCGATGGCAAAAATTCTTAAGATGCTTTTTAAGATGCACTACTGAGAAGAGAAAAACTCATTTAACTTTTTCCCATCTTTTTCCCAATCTTTTTCTCTTTCTATCCGCCGCTCTGATCGATTTCTCTCGAATTTTCTCTTTCTTTTGCAGCATTATTATAGCTCAGTAACACTGATCAGTGAATGAAACACAGTTTCTTGGTTATATGTTTAATATTAAAAGACCCCATGAAAACAAAAAAGAGTTTTGTCTATTAGAGACCATCTAAATGCTAGTGTACTTCTTAAAGTTGACTAAATAAACTTTTAGCAGAGATACAGTACACATTTTTGCACATTTGTCTTTCTCTTCCAGGAAGGAAATACCTAAAATATTGATCATCTTGGAAGGAAATTGTAAATTCATTTCATGGGAGCTTTACACTTTGGTGTGTGTACAGTAAATATGCATTTGTGTATTTAATGTTGAAAAGTGTGTCCTTTATTTATTTATTTCTTAGTTTTTCTGGTGTTGCCCCATTTAGTTGTTGTTCCTGTCTTTAAAAAATTATACTACTATTAATCAAATTTCATGTCACGATTGTTATCTTATTAAACACTCGTGAGATTCTACGATTTTACAAGTCTATGAAAATACAGAATGGCTTGCCTATAAAGCCTTTCGTTTTCATGTTATAATTATGCCAAAAACTCTTATTTTATAAATTCTATCTTCCTGTATTACTTCCTGTATTTTTTCTCAGGATGCTACCACCAGTTTCCTCCGTGCAGCTCGCTCAGGTAATCTGGACAAGGCTCTAGACCACATCAAGAATGGCATCGACATCAACACAGCCAATCAGGTAAGACTCCCTCAACTCAGCCAATCATGCCATCTATGGTTGTTCAAAAGAGGAACACAATTGTCTGATTGACAGCTATCACTGTAGTCCATTGGGCTTCTGAAGCTTAGAGTCACAGCCAGGCTTCAATAAGAGATCAAATGTCGTCTTACAGATAAACACGTGATCTTAAACATGTGCTCTCAGAGCGTGTTCCTGATGAAAAATCCAGCTTAACCAAGCATGAATTCCACGTTGGTCCAGGCTGGGTTATGCTGGATGGAGTGATGTTGGACCAGTCATGCTGTTCTCAAGCAAAACTAAGCATCCCTTTTCTGGTCTCAGCATGCAAAACATGCCTTGTGCTGGTGACCCGCACACAGTTGCATGTGCTTATATATTGCACAGGGCCACCTTGCTCACATGTAGAGCGACATCATTATTTCTGTGAAGTGGCAACAGTTCTTACTCTTTTAAAAATAAAGGTTCCAAAAGGAGAGTTTTCGCAGTGATGCAAAAGAGGAAACATTGTTTCACTTTATTTTGATGGTCCCTTTTGCACATTCTGGTGACTATAAGTAATGTTGCACCTACACGTCTACTAACTCTCATTAGAGTGAGTAGAGTATTAGTAGACTGGTAGGGTTTGGGTTAGATTAAGTTGACATGTACTTGCCAAGTTACTTACAGTCAGTATAATGTCTGTTGAGGAGGATCACAATAAAGAGTTAGCGGATATGAATTAGACATTCTACTAATACTTTAATGAGAGTTAGTTGACATGTAGTTGCAAAGTTACTTATAGTCAACAGAATATTCAAAGGGGGCCATCAAAATAAAGTGTTACGGGAATCATTTTTGGTTTCCCAGAACCTTTGAGTGATCAGTTCTTTAAAAAGAACCATTGTTTTCTTAGTGTGAAGAACAATTAAAAAAATCTACTATAAAGGACCTTTTGTGGGATGTAAAAGTTCTATGGATGTTAAAGGTTCTTCATGGAACCATCAGTGCCAAATAAACTTTATTTTAAAGAGTGAGAGTTGCTGAGCAGAAAAACCTTACCTATAATGGGAAGGGGATCCATATTTTTCTGGACTTCATTTCAGAGATGGCAAAGCGCAGGACAGAGAGCAACTTTGGGATAAGCCAGGGATTCGGTATGGGACGCCTTTCCCAGCCAGGTTAACTGGGAATTTCAACAGCAGCGAAACTGTATTCACAGTTGATGGCATCAATGCTATACATAGGTGATGGAGATCAGGAGAGTATAGGTTTAATGGTTCAGGTTTAATGAACATATTCGGTTCATCGGTTCGGGACACTCTTGCATACATTAACTTTTTACCAGTTTTTGTGCTGTAACAGTTGGTCCACGATATGATGTTGGCAATTGCAAACGTTTTTGCACTAAACATTGAGTCAGAAGAGGAGATGGAAGGTTTCATTGTTGGTGCCATAGCTTTGGATATGGATTCTTCAAGCTAAAGAAATCTACGCCTGTTCCGAGATGCAATAGTGATTTCTGATTCATGAACGAGCTGGTTCTGTTCAATCGGTTCACAAGTCGCACTGAATGATCCGTTAGAGAATTGGACTGATCCGATTGTAGCTGTTCTTGACTCAACAACACACAATGATCCAATTCAAATGATCCGGTCTGAGCAAGTCTTCATGTCTGACTCTAAATGTGCCAAGACTCGCGAGATTACACATGTGACTGATGGCCTGAAAAGTAAGATACTAATACTGAATTTTAATATTGATTGGTGTAATGTCTGTCCATTATTTCTGAACTAAATCTACTGTAACAGGGTGAGCTTCCCTGTCTTAACAGGTAGCCAACTGGGAGGGGGGGATGATTGTACATTTTCTGTTTCCATGTCTGGATCCATTTTTTAATTGCACTGCATGTCTATTGTGCACAAATGCTATTGTGTGTATGCCCAGTAGTTGCATTCACGTCCGCTTCTTTTCCCTTTAGCCTGTTTTTACCCTGACATTTCCGGCTGTGGGTGGGTCTATCAGGAACGCCAGCAGTAATTGAGATGATAATGCCCTTTGATTAATGACCGCATGTGTTGTGAGTGATGATTTCAGCGCTTTTCTCCATTTAGTCCTTATACTGTAGCAAACGTGTGAGCAGGTCCTCAGAGCTCTCTGGAGGGTTTCAGTGACCTCGCCTACATGCACCGCTGAGCTCTTTGAAAAACTCCTTAAGCTGCAAGACGCTTGAGCTACAGTACGATACATGAAGGCTATACTGGAAAATAACATATTCTTAGTTAGTATTATTGTCTTGCCCTCCATTAAAATATATACTTAAAGCAAGATACACTCACTTGACAAACAAACAAGTGTTTACACAAGTGTATTTATTTTCATTAAATATATCTTGAATTAAACCGGATAAGTAAAATGTAAAGTACAATTTGTCAATGGGGTAAGAAAATCAAAGTTATATTGATATACAGTGTATTATATGTTCTCTGGCTTAATATATTGTCCAATTAACTAAAAATACAAGAAATATTAATATTATATTATTTTTTTATACAGTGCCTTTTCAGAAATATGTTATTCAGTGTAAAATATACTCTACAGCAGTGTTATTTTACTATTATTTGCTTATTATTATTGATTTTAATCAATAATTTGTAGGGATGCACAAATACCACTTTATTCAGAACGAGTCCGGTACCGATAGCCAACGATACCAAGTACGATACCTGTATTTACATTGCATTTTTACATTTTTTTAAATATAGGTTGTTGTTTTTTTAAATATAGGGGAAACCAGAAGAATATGAATCATATTAGCTGACTTAGTTTTCAATGACGGCTTATAAGGTGCATGTGATCCACTTTTTCCAGTGATAGAGACCCAGAGTTTGAAATCTCCACCTCTATAAGAACAAGCCTTCGTCTTTCGGATGAGACGTTAAACCGAGGTCCTGACTCTCTGTGGTCATTAAAAATCCCAGGATGCCCTTCGAAAAGAGTAGGGGTGTAACCCCGGCATCCTGACCAAATTTGCCCATTGGCCCCTGCCCATCATGGCCTCCTAATCATGATTGGCTTAATCACTTTGTCTCCTCTCCACCAATAAGCTGGTGTGTGGCGCAATACGGCTGCCGTGTCATTATCCATGTGGTGTTGCACATTGGTAGTGGTTGAGGAGATTCCCCCCTTCTATGTAAAGTGCTGAGAAAAGCGCTATATAAATGTAATGAATGAATGAATTAAGCTTTGTGCATCCTAGAAATGTTTTAGAAACCATTTGTTGTATGATATTCTTCAGATGCAGCTTTGTAAATGTTCCGTATTTTTTCATCCATCCATCCTTTTTCTTTTGTTTCTTCGTTCCTGTGCTTGTTTCTTTGAGTCACATTGAGATGGGGTAAGTGGTCTCTACACTCAGAGGGGATAATATCAGCAATGTGAGAAAGGTCCAACCTCACATGTCCTGTGAGGCTGAAGGAAGGCTGTGTGAGGTTAGACCTATCCCACATGGCCCGTATTCTTCCCAGCAGAGAGACCACCGGCCTGCCATCCACCTATCATCATCATCATCATCATCATCATCATCGGTTGATGTCTTTTGAAAGTGCTCCATATGTTTTGTGAGAGTGGGTGTTAACTACAAACCTCCCACTTCCCCATTTCAGTCTCTTTGGGATGTTCCAGTATGATTTGAGATTGAATAACCTTCAGAGTGAGTTTGCTCTGCTGTCTCTTTCCCTTCACAGAATGGACTCAACGGGCTGCACTTGGCCTCGAAGGAAGGCCACGTTAAAATGGTGCTGGAACTACTGCACCATGGTATTGTACTTGAGACGGCCACAAAGGTAAGAGTTAGAGCTACAAAAAGCCACAAAAAGTATTTGGATGTTAACTCTTTCCCCACCATTGACGGAAATGTCCAGCTTTCCGTGTTTTCACTGTTATACGGTAGGGGGCGCTATTTTTCCGAAAGAGTCCAGATTCTCCTGATCAAAAGACATGTGAAGCAGAAGCAGAAACAAGCAATATTCAAGGGGGTAATCCATCGACCGGAAGTTGAAGCCGGCCGGGTGCCGCCATCTTGTAGCAGAACTTCACTTGCGTTAGCATTTCCATTGACTCCCATTCATTTTGGCGTCACTTTGACAGCGAATAACTTTACATCCGAGGCGTTTAAAGACTCCATTTGTCCATTATTTATTTCTAAAGAAACACGACAATGTATAAAGGGCTCCATTACCTTCTATGTTACACTATGGCCCCGTAGAAACAGATTTAGTAAAAATAGGCTAACGATTGCGTCATAACCACTCGACTCTCTGTCGCGCTGTACAGAAATTACCGTACAGACAGGAGGAGAAGCTCGCAGGCAATCGGGGGGACGTCCCGTCAAGGGAGAAGCCCATAGATAATGAGTCCATAAAAGCAACGGAATACTTACTCCTGCTCACTCACGCCAAAGAACTCTTTGCTCAAGTTCCCCATCTCTGCAAGATTAACGTTGGCAATTTTCACGCACAGCTACTAGAAGATTAACGTCTGTCAGACAGGTTGCTCACGTCATCAAGCTTAGTTTGAGTCGGTTTGAGTCTGCGCGTCAGGAACGGAAGTGCTCAAAAATCGCTAAAAATGGGCTTCAACTGTCTCAACTGAGTTCCAATGAGATGGCTCTGTCCACTTCTTATACTGTCTTTGGCAATATTATATGTAAGCAGATGCATATGTAAAATAACGCGATCACCAACATTAAACAGAATATAAATCAAAACTGCTTAACGTTACTGAATGATATGTCGACCCAGGACGAGGTACAGGACTGTGAAGCTTTGGGTGTTGATGGACTCGATCTACTCCATCTGTGTTTTGATCATCGTTCTGAATCTGATCCAGGCGTAGTCTTTGATAAAAACACGATTTTCTCAGCTTTTTGTTCAAAATCTTGCTTTTTTTGTGAAACTTACCCACATTCAAGTGTTGATAAAAAAGGAATGCATGCAGCTATAGTAAAACGAGGTTTTGTTTTGTTTATAAGCAGAGGGTGTGTTCTTTCTTTTTATCAAATATTCATATAACAAAATATTCTGTGATATTCATCAAAAATGCTGGCGGTGACTGGCAACCTTTTTCAAAAGCTCTGGTGGGGAAAGAGTTAAAAAAGTATAAAAATATATATCATTGCATTAGATGCTAGAGCTTTTGGCAGAATAACTTCACTTTTCTGAATTATTTCACATTTAATTTTACCTAACAGATCTAGTTATCTAATTAAATCTCTTATCTTATACAATGATATCCATACATTTTACCATTTGTGTGGCAAATGTGTTCGAATACTTTTTGTGGTGAACATTCATGATGCAATGAAAAACTTAACACAAAATCTTCACATGTACCTCAAAAACCATTGTGAAACACTTTAGCATATTTATAAAGTACTTATTATTATTATAATATACATTAAAATAATAATCTTAAGTGCAAATTGATTGTAATGCTTTGGACACTTAATTGCATGTTATAAATGAAATTGTATTATAGTTTAAATGTATATTAAATGCAATCAGCTGAACTTTATATTGTCTTTGAAATATGTTTTAAGTGCACTGCCAAATGTGAAGCATTAAACTAAAATATACTTTAATGTCATTTCTATTGAAAATTGTTTGTAATTTAGTACCTTTATTATTTTTTTAAAATGTAATATCAATGATTATTATCAAGCACTTTATGTGTTTTAGTATGTTAGACATCAGATCACAATAAGTGTACTTATTTAAAGCACCACAAAAGATTATTAAAACAGAATACTTAAGTGACATTATTACAAAGTGTGCTTAAGCATGTTAAGAAACAGTCATGAAAGTGTATTCTCTTTAAGTGATAATGCAAAAATATCATATTACCTACAAGTACAGTTTTGAATGTACTGTATAATGTTGTTCATCGTGTCATTAAATACGATATTTCTCTTGTAGAAAGGAAATACTGCTCTTCACATAGCAGCCTTAGCTGGTCAAGAACAGGTGGTCACTGAGCTGGTCAACTATGGAGCCAATGTCAATGCTCAGTCTCAGGTGAGCGAAAAATCAAAGAGATTTCTTTTAAAATGGGTTTGAGCCATTGATATGTTGTATTATCTGCGTGCATTTACCTAACTTCTCTCCAGTTGGATGTTTTATAGTTCATTTAAACAGTTGAATCATTTTGAATTGATGTAGTATTGCTGTCCGAACTAAAATCTCTCTGGCTCTATTGTCATCTGTGTATTTGTGTGCTTGTGTTAGTTTGGGTATTGTATCTGCATATGGGTGTTTATGTCTGTCTGCAACAGAAGGGCTTCACTCCTCTCTACATGGCTGCACAAGAGAATCACCTCGAGGTTGTGAAGTTTCTCCTGGATAATGGAGCCAATCAGACCATTCCAACTGAGGTAATGAAAAAGACTTTTAAATAGAGTATGTGTTGTGCAAATCATATTCTTTAAAGGGTTAGTTCACCCAAAAATTAAAATTATGTCATTAATGATGTCGTTCCAAGCCCGTAAGGCCTCCGTTCATCTTCAGAACACAGTTTAAGATATTTAAATCACATCATCCATTGTGAGATATAAACTCGCAATTGCGCGTTATCAGGCCAATTCTAAGGGGAAAAAAAGACTTACTTTTTTCCCCTCAGAATAGTTTATATCTCACAATTCTGACTTTACAACACGCAATTGCGACTTTATATCAATCAATTCTGACTTTATATCTCGCAATTCTGACTTTATAATGCGCAATTGCGACTTTATTTCACGCAATTCTGACTTTATATCAATCAATTCTGACTTTATATCTCGCAATTCTGACTTTATAACGCGTAATTGCGACTTTATTTCACGCAATTCTGACTTTATAACCTACAATTGCGACTTTATATCAATCAATTCTGACTTTATATCTCGCAATTCTGACTTTATAACGCGCAATTGCAACTTTATTTCACGCAATTCTGACTTTATAACCTACAATTGCGACTTTATTTCACGCAATTCTTACTTTATAACCTACAATTGCGACTTTATATCAATCAATTCTTCTGACTTTATATCTCGCAATTCTGACTTTATAACACGCAATTGCGACATTATTTCACGCAATTCTGACTTTATATCTCGCAATTCTGACTTTATAACACGCAATTGCGACTTTATTTCACGCAATTCTGACTTTATAACCTACAATTGCGACTTTATATCAATCAATTCTGACTTTATATCTCACAATTCTGACTTTATAACGCGCAATTACAACTTTATATCAATCAATTCTTCTGACTTTATATCTCGCAATTCTGACTTTATAACGCGCAATTGTGACTATTTCACGCAATTCTGACTTTATAACCTACAATTGTGACTTTATTTCACGCAATTCTGACTTTATATCTCGCAATTCTGACTTTATAACACGCAATTGCGACTTTATTTCACGCAATTCTGACTTTATATTTTGCAATTCTGACTTTATAACACGCAATTGCGACTTTATATCTCGCAATTCTGACTTTATAACCTACAATTGCGACTTTATATCAATCAATTCTGACTTTATATCTCACAATTCTGACTTTAGAACGCGCAATTGTGACTTTATTTCACGCAATTCTGACTTTACAACACGCAATTCTGAGAAATAAAGTCAGAATTGCGAGATAAAAGTCGCAATTACCTTTTTTATTTTTTATTCTGTGGCGGAAACAAGCTACTATAGATCTCACTGTTCACCTTTAACCTGCTATTTTTACTCCGGTTATTCAGAGAAATATGGATGTTCCCGTGATGTGTTGTATGTTTGTGTGTCTCTCAGGATGGCTTTACCCCTCTTGCTGTGGCTCTTCAGCAGGGCCATGAGAATGTGGTGGCCCTGCTCATCAACCACGGTACTAAGGGCAAGGTCCGCCTTCCCGCACTGCATATCGCTGCCCGAAACGACGACACCCGCACTGCCGCTGTGCTCTTACAGAATGACCCCAATCCTGATGTCTTAAGCAAGGTTTGTGTAAACTGATGAAAATCTTTCTTTTACTAAACTAAACTACTGGGCATCTAGTATAAATGTAACATTATATTATCTGATTAAATGAGCCAGGTTTGAAGCCATTAAAAATGTTTTGGGCGCTTAGTTGCATGGTAATAGCAATGAAATTAAAATATTTGTATATTTTATGTATTTAGCACCAGGGCTGTGCGTTTAATCGAAATTCTAATACAATCATGATGTGAGTACATAAAAAAAAATGCTGGGTTGTTTTCAACCCATGTTTGGGTCAAATATGGACAAACTTAATTTTTTTAATTAAATTTTAAACCCAACTGTTAGAGCTGCACGATTAATCGTTAAAAGATCGCAATCTCAATTCAAACACCCATGCGGGGGAAAAAAACGTGATTCTTAATTTTTCCAGAATCGTGCCACTCTACCTACGGTTGGGTTTGTCCATATTTGACCCAAAACATAGGTTGAAACAACCCAGCATTTTTTTTTTTTTCATTTTTTGAATGCAACGCGAACAGAAAAGAACGGATTTACCGTTGATTCTCATCATTGTTTAATGTGTTGTGTGCATTTTCATTACCTGAAGTATCTCCTGAGTATTTGATTTCTTGGATTAAAGACTATTGAAGTTAATATTTTTGAGTCATTCACGTTATATTACACAGCAAGTGTGACATAGCCATACATTATAGTGATTTTACAACAGTTACCAACATTAACCAGCTGAAGGTTGCACTGCAAGCCTGACTTACTGCGTTAATCTGTGTAAACACACAATTGTTCAAAGGTTTGGGGTCAGTAAGATTGAATTTTTTATAAAGCAAGAATGCATTAAGTTGATCAAAAGTGATAGTAGAGACTTTTGAACTTTAAAGAATCATGAAAAACATGTATTACGGTTTCCAAAAAACCATTGAGCAGCAAAACGTTCAACATTTATAATGAGAAATGTTTTACATTTTTAATTGTAATAATATCTGACAATAGTACTGTTTTTACTGTATTTGTAATCAGATAAATGCTTCTTGCAAAAACATTCTTACCGAGCCCAAACTTTTGAAGGGTAGAGTATACAGTTCATTGAAATCTGCACTGATATTGAAGCAATCAGAGGAACAACTGTTACTGGTTGCTAACTCAATTTCCCATGATCCTCTGCAGACAGGCTTCACACCACTCCATATCGCAGCCCACTATGAAAACCTGAATGTTGCCCAGCTGCTTCTGAACCGAGGAGCTGATGTGAACTTCACACCCAAGGTCTGTCTTTTATAAATATTTCTGGACTGATCCTCAAGTCTGTTTACAGCAACAAGCAAACTAGTGTGTTTTTCTTTCAGAATGGGATCACACCTCTACATATTGCATCCAGGAGAGGAAATGTTATCATGGTCAGACTTCTGCTGGACCGAGGAGCAAAGATTGATGCTAAGACAAAAGTATGTTATAAAGTTATAATTCTAAACATTAACGAGACTAGAGGATTTGTATACACGTTTGTTCTTCCTCCCTTGTCATCACAGGATGAGTTGACTCCTCTTCACTGTGCTGCCAGAAATGGCCATGGGAGAATAATCGAGATCCTTCTGGACCAAGGAGCCCCAATACAGGCCAAGACCAAAGTAGGCATACACCCAAACACTCTGCGTTTACATATAGCCACAAAACATTTGACATCGAGACACATGGTGTAGTCACGTGGTGTTCTGAAGTAACCAATAAAAAAAGAAATAATCCAACATCACCAATTCGATAGTTTATGAATCTCTTTGATTTGGTTCACCTTGGTCAATTTCATCAGCATACTGTAGGTCAAGCTATTGTTCTTATATGGTGGGGATGGGGATCTAAATAATGGGGATCTAAATAATAAACAATAAACAATAATAAACAATATGGTAATTATGCAAGAATTTCTCCCACCAAAAAACTGCCATTATTAGGTATTATTACATTTTATTTACTGAATTTGCAGCTGTGCATGTTAGGATAAAATTGAAAAATTGAAAGTAGCATATCTTGACTTTTTTTTTTTTTTTACATAGACTATTGGGAACTGCAGTTTCAATAGTATGTGTCAGCAGTGCAAACATAATAATATGCATTGATTAAAATCCAAAAACATTTAGGATTAATATATTTGAATTGCATATACAAATTCCATTTATTTGGCTCACGCAGTTTTAACATAAGCAAATGTTAAACTTAATGTGATGCATATTTGTCATAAATGAAACGGGTAAGATTTCTGCAAAGTTTATTATTACCTATTTGCATCCATTTGATTATATTTAAATAATAATAAAAAAATGCATTTGTTGATATTGCTTAGAATCTGCATAAATCTGTATTTTGTGGGGGAAAAAAAACATTTATTCAGTTATAAAGTATAAACATGGTTAAAATATTTCTAGTTGTGGACCAAGAAATATTCAATTAGTTAATTGAAATGAATTGGATTTGTTGATGATAAATATATAAACCTGGTTATTGTGTATTTTAAACACATTCAGTTCAGAAATCTAACCAAAAAAAAAAAAAAAAGCCTGCTTGATTGCCAGAAATTTGAAAGAAAGTGCATTTGGCAGCTCTAAATGTTCCCATATGTTCACTGCACAGAATGGCCTGTCGCCAATACATATGGCAGCCCAGGGCGATCATTTGGACTGTATCAAACAGCTATTACAGTACAATGCAGAGATTGATGACATCACTCTAGACCACCTGACACCACTGCATGTGGCGGCACACTGTGGACATCATCGCGTGGCCAAGGTGCTCCTGGACAAAGGAGCCAAACCAAACACCCGTGCTCTGGTTAGTACACGTTTAAAAGGCAAACGTGGAACAGTTAATGCACATGTTAAAGGGTTAGTTCACCCAAAAATGAAAATTATGTCATTAATGACTCGCCCTCATGTCGTCCCAAGCCTGTAAGACCTCCGTTCATCTTCAGAACACAGTTTAAGATATTTTAGATTTACTAAAATCTAAGCAGCGTCTTACGTCAGCGTCACTTACGTCACTGAACGCGGATCCACAACAGAACCGGAAGACAATACAATGCTGAATAAAGTCGTAGTTTTTGTTATTTTTGGACCAAAATGTATTTTCGATGCTTCAAAACATTCTAACTAACCCACTGATGTCACATGGACTACTTTGATGATGTCTTTATTTCCTTTCTGGACAAGGACAGTATACCGTACATACATTTTCAATGGAGGGACAGAAAGCTCTCGGACTAAATCTAAAATATCTTAAACTGTGTTCTGAAGATGAACGGAGGTCTTACGGGCTTGGAGCAACATGAGTCAATAATGACATAATTTTCATTTTTGGGTGAACTGACCCTTTAACATTTACCCTATTATTATGAAACATCCAGAAACTGTTCACAAAATCGCATTTATTTGTCCACTTATGCTTAGAATGGCTTCACGCCACTCCATATTGCCTGTAAGAAGAACCACATGCGTGTAATGGACCTGCTATTAAAGCATTCTGCGTCCCTGGAGGCGGTAACAGAGGTGAGCAACAGGATCATTTCACAGTGTAAAATACTGTTAATAACATTTCATTATTTTAAATTAAAATTATTGTGATGTATTCACTGGTTTTAACTGAGTTCTAGAAGTCATTGTATTTGTTTGGTGTGTTGGGGGACTTTTATTATGAATTTTAGTACCTTTTATCCTGATTGTCAAACCAAGAGCAACTCATAGCACAGTTCAGTTAGCTTGCTGCCAAAAAGCATGTTTTCCCATTGGCATCCATGCAAAAATAGCTGTATATTCTAACCAAATATATTTTTATTTTTGCAAGAAGCAGGATCTAGTTGCAGTAAATGTATTTATTTACATAAGCAAACAAAACGAAAACATTAGAATATCAACTCAAGAGCAAAAGGAATACACAAACCAACATAGTATGAGACGTAAGAACGAACAAGGAACTAAACGAGACAGAGACTAGGGTCGAAATCGCACCCTATATCGTTAAATAGGGCAAACAGCCATTTGTAGTGGTGTCCGAAACCATAGTGGACGTTATTGAGTGCACTCATTCAATCCCATAACGCAGCGCAATAACGAGTGTACAAACGATGTACGCTAAACAGGTAGAGAATACCCATAATCCACTGTGAGAGTCGCGGACCGAATGAATTCCCTCGTCTGACCAGAAGATGGCGCCGCTGCTGAATCATCCATTTTCCAAACCGTTGCTGGTCCAATGTGGCCACAGCGTATATCATACAGTATACATTCCTGAATGTAATAATACAATGACTTATACACCGATGTCGCTCATCTGTGTGTTTTTTTCCTCTCAACAATGCAATTTTGACTCTGAAAGTACGGTAACGATATCACAGCTCAGTATACGGTAGATGCTACTAAGAGCTCTTGTCCTATCACCCACCAATACATCAGTTTTATCAGGACTTTATTTTTGTGGCTCATTGGTTATTATCATTAGATGAGTGGTAGATTTCTCCAGATATTATAGACCTATTGGGAGAAAAGGTCATGGCAGACAAATAAGACCACAAAAGCATAAAAACAGACACAGTGATTCATTAAGACTGGGAATGAATTTCACTTCAAAAACAATAAAAAGCAACATGCATTTTAGGTAGTTTACGTTTTGAATAGAGCAAGGTCTACTAAAGAGGTGTGAGCATTATCACAATTTCAGGCCATGACATGTTTAGTTCTTTGTGTTTCTGTCCAACAGTCAGGGTTGTCCCCGCTGCATGTGTCTTCCTTTATGGGTCATCTGAATATAGTGAAGATCCTAATGCAGAAAGGAGCATCGCCGCATGCCTCAAACGTGGTAAGCAACAAAGTGAAATATCAGCAGTTAAAGCAATGCACTGAAGTATGTTCACGAAAACATGGAATTTAACCTTTTGAAAGCAACATTTTCCTCACACAGTTTTATCTCTAGGTCAGGGATGGGCAGCTTCGGTCCTGGAGAGTTTAACTCCAACCCGGATAAAAACCAAAACTTTTTGTTACGAAAACGTGTAGTTTGCTAGTAATCCTGAAGACATTGATTAGCGTGTGTTTGAGTTCGACTCTGCAGGACTGAAGTTACCCACCCCTGCACTAGGTGGTTTAAGATGTGTGGACTGCGAGCTGTGCTTTTGCTGTGATCTTGTACTTGTCTTGTAATGTACTTGTACATTAATGTGTACTTGTAGAAAGTGGAAACGCCTCTGCACATGGCATCTCGAGCTGGTCACTGTGAAGTTGCTGAGTTCCTGTTGCAAAATGCAGCTCCAGTGGACGCCAAAGCCAAGGTACATTTCATTTGATGTTATTTTGATGTGTTTAGTTTGTATATGTTGGTCTTTTATTCTCTTTAAGCAAAAAAAATATTTCATGGAAGCTTGTTTCCGCCACAGAATTAAATATTAAAAAGGTAATTGCAACTTTTTATCTCACAATTCTGACTTTATTTCTCGCAATTGCGAGTTTATATCGCAATTATATTATAGATATAAATTATATTTATATTGCGAGAAATAAAGGTAATAATTTACCTTGCAATTTTGTCATGCCTTAAAATAGCTTGAATGTAACTCTACACGTTGATCTGATTGGTTACAAGGTCGTTTGTGACGTCAGAAACACCAGCGATTCCAAACCGTGTTTTTGAGACTGTCTTTGGTTCACTGCAGTTTTAAGGAGAAAATACTCTGTTGACTTATGAATTTACACTTGGTTTGTCTTAAAGCATATTAAAAACACCACATAGACATATATAAACAACATTAAAAGCTTGATTTTAACCACAAGGGGACTTGAACTAACTATTAACTACTATTTTTGCCTGAATTAACTCCTAATTACTGCTTATTAATAGTTAGTAAGGTGGTTATTAAGTTTAGGTATGGGTATAAGGGATGTAGAATAAGAGCATGCAGAATAAAGTATTAATATGTGCTTTATAAGTAAAGCCAATATCTTAGTAATATGCATGCTAATAAGCAACTAGTTAATAGTGAGAATTGGACCCTAAACTAAAGTGTTGTCAAATATAGTCAATGTATGTATAATAATATATAATATTATCAGGGGTGCACATAACTTTTTCAGTGAGTTACTCAGGTGAGTACCAGGAGATGGTGTTTGGTACTCACCCCATATGTAGCGTGGTCTTAATAAGTGCAGTCCTCCTCAGTGTAGAAGCTGTCAATCACAGCTGTCAATCATGACATCACATTCCCGTTTTTATAGCATCAAATAACTAACTAAAGACCGAACTTATTTTAAAAAACGAACACTTAAATTTACATTAGCGTGAAAAAAACGACCTAAAATGACAGAAAACATCTTTGGAAAAATTTAATTTGAAGTGCAATTTGATTGTGTAGTTCATTAGACTTCATGGTGAGGATTTTGAACAACTCACTATAGCTGTGTCAGCCGGTATTTTGTCAGTCAAAAATAGTCGATCTCCGAATGCAACTTAACAGGGAGGAGAGTAAAGATGGAAAGCTCCTAAAGCTTAGTTCCATATAAATTCACGGATAATTTGTTGTTTTGTCGTAAGTGAAAAACAATATTGACCTTGTATTTGAAAAAGGATCCTCATATAAGAAACAATACTAAAATTCAGAGTCAGTTCAGTTCGCATTCGGAGATCGACTATTTTTGACTGACAAAATGCGGGTGTTACTGTTCCGGCGGACACAGCTACAGTGAGTTGTTCACTATCTTTCTTTTTAGAAAACTGTGTACACAAACAATGTTCTCAATGCTCGAATTCATGTGTAGAGCCCCTGGTGATACTTCCAGCAAAGTTTCATGTTGTGTCGAGCCTTCTTAGTGTTTTAAAAATAGCGATTTTGATGCTATCATATACGTGCCCCTAGCTCTCCCATTCAAAAGGCAATTTGACCGAAAACGAAAATACGGTCAAACTTAAAAGTGGCGTTTCCATTCTAATTATGCTTTTAAATGAAAGTTTGCCTCGGGTAGATTAACAAAAAGACCCTAGGTTGCATTTTGGCGACAGTTACCCTTTAAGTACGCAAAGGCGCGTAATAACACAAGTGGCATTACGCATTTCTGATTTATGTCGCGCATGCGTACCTGCGTACCAGTTATGTGCACCCCTGAATATTATACTATATAAACCTGTATATATAATAAAATATATATTTCTTTAATTTATAATATAAATACAATTTGAGAAGAACTTATAAATATAGCCATTGATTTTTTTTGTGTATCATGTTATTAAAAAATGATCACTTAATGATCTTCACCTCCATCAGGATGACCAGACGCCGCTACACTGTGCAGCCCGTATGGGTCACAACGAGATGGTGAAGCTTCTGCTGGAGCACAAAGCAAACCCCGACTCCAACACAACAGCGGGACACACTCCACTGCACATCGCCTCCCGTGAGGGACACACACAAACTGCCAGCATCCTCCTGGACGTCAACGCCCAGCTAACCAAAATGACCAAGGTACAGTGCTCTACCCAAGACCTATAAGTCACCAGCATATTGAATTAAAATAGAGTTGGTTTTGTATTGAAACTCTCTCTGCTGTTTGGTTGGTGTCATGCAGAAAGGCTTCACTCCTCTTCATGTGGCGGCCAAATACGGGAAGCTGGACGTGGCAGTGCTGCTTTTAGAGAGAGGAGCCAATCCAAATGCTGCAGGCAAAGTATGAACCACCTGCATGCATGTATGCATTTATACGCATTTATAGTTCATTCTATAGCTATTTATATAGATAGAATGGTTACACTTTATTTTAAGGTGTCATTGTTACAATGTTATTATACATAGTACTGAGTAATATTAATTAACAACATGTACTTACTATAGGGTTAGGGTAGGATTAGGATTTGGTTGAGGGTTAGTTGCATGTAATTATGCATAATTTACTGTTATTATTATGGTAAGTACATGTAACATATGTAACAAGGACACTTGTTACCGATAGAATTAGTGGTTGACTGAAATGGGTCTTTCAATGGCTTGTGTGTCGACGTGTAAACAGACACAACCAATTTGAAATTCAGTTACATAGTCAGTAACTTTAATCTGATTACAATTTAACATATAACATGGGAATGCTCAGGGCCGGATTAACCATTAGGGCAACTGGTCACTTGCCCAGGGGCACATGACATCTAAGGGCCCTGCGCACCGTCAAATATTATGTTAGATCACGTTATAAACGCAGTCCTCACTTTCCTAATTATATGCATATTTTTGCAACCCATTCGATCAAAATATAATGTTAAATCGCGTCAAAAACAGCGTCTGTATTCCTGCGCAGTGAGCGAGAGCGAGCTATCATGTCGACTCGCGTCGCGTGACTTGACGCTCTGAAATTTGAAGTGATGGAGAAGCAGTTGCCTACGGTTGCCCAACATAAAGGTCTCGACTGTTTAGCGTTATATTTTGCCAACGAAGTCAAATTGAAACTATGATATTGCTTCGTGCCGTTATAAAACAGCAAAAGACTTTAAGTAGCCTATAGGCATTCTGTTTGTGCTGCGTGATTTAAATAGAAGTGCGCGCTTTGCTCACGCGATCAGCATGGTGATCTGGTGTTTTCCCAAAAAATGAAAGCTCAAGGGTTTATTTCTGGCAATTAAAGAAATTAGGACAAAAGTATTGTACTTTTCCTATACTGTGTAATGTAATGCAAAATACTTTTAGGCTACATTTATAGGAGGTATATGATTTTACGTCATAGGAATAATTATATAAATCATTATTATAATAATTGTTTGGCATCCTAAAACACCAGTGATAATGTAATGCAGACTGAGACTCTATATCATAACTAAAAAGATGTTAGAGCCCTCTTTAATGTCCAGGTAAGTCAATGCTTTTTCTTTGTTCAATGTGCACAGTTCATGGGTTAAAGCCGGTTGAAGCTCTTAATTGTGAGCTCTCAAAGTGCACCAGATTGATGCATTTAACCTTAAAATGTACAAAATTTTCTTGCGGGGGAGCATGCCCCCGAACCCCCCTAGAGGGATAGAGTTCCACCCAACATAGTTTTATAAAATCCTATGGGAAACACAGATCATTTATGAAGTAATATGTACAAAAAAGTTCCTTTTAAGTCAGTAATACAGTTAATGCCAAATTAAAATGTCCTTGGACAAACTACATTTGGCCTGCCTAAGGGGGGGCCTACAAGACATTGTGCCCAGGGCCCTCTGAATTCTTAATCCGGCCCTGGGAATGCTGGGTATATTACATACAAATTGTAGTCGGTTACTGATTTCCGATTGCATGACAAAAATTGCAGTTCGTAATGTAATCTAGATTACTCATTTTAGGCAATGTATTCTGACTACTTTTTGCTTACTTTTGACCTAGCTCGTTTATCACATTGATTTGAATAGGATAATCTTGTACCATATTGATATAAATTTACTAAGAGAAAGAAATGATATTCTATTCTTTGTTATCAACATCATGAAGGGTTTCCTAGACTGGGGTTCACGGTGGAACTGCAGGCGTTTCATGTGTTTAATGAAATTTTTTTTTTTTTTTTTTTTACTTGCATGTCATGTGACCATTAACCGACATCCGATAAATTTTATTACTGACCTAATTTATTAACTTCAAGTAAAGATATTAGGTCAAAGAGGTTCAGCTGCGAAAAAAAAGAGGGAAATCCCTACACTGAAGTGGCCTTTTATTTCATTAATATGATATTATCTGCAAGTAGTTTTTTAAAATATACTTTTAAAATTTGAAGTGCACAATCAACACAATTAAGCACACTTTTTTTTTTCCAGTGGTAGTACTAAGTGTTCTATCATTCATATCTATTGCATTTTCATTGTGTATTATTGATGGTAGTGATGTAAGATGCCTTCTCCTCTACAGGTTGGACTCACGCCGTTGCATGTGGCCGTCCATCATAACAATCTAGATGTGGTCAATCTTTTACTCGGCAAAGGGGGATCGCCGCACAGTGCCGCTCGAGTATGACACTGTTATTGCCCTGCTTGACTGTCATTACACTGCAAAAACTCACAGTCTTAATCATTATTTTTAACTAGTTTAGCCACAAAGTGCATAAACTTGCTAATTGTTCTCCTCAGAATGGCTATACTCCGCTCCATATTGCTTCGAAGCAGAACCAGGTGGAGGTAGCGAGTAGTTTACTGCAGCATGGAGCTTCTGCCAACGCTGAGTCACTGCAAGGGGTCACACCTTTACACCTCGCATCCCAAGAGGGACAACCAGACATGGTGTTGCTGCTTATCTCAAAGCAGGCCAATGTAAATCTGGGCAATAAGGTAAACTTATCATACTTACATTTTTGCACCCTTTTTTAAAGCAAGAATCCCCCCCACACACACAGATATTATCAGAATTGTGAGAAAAATGTCTTTATTTCATGGTGGAAACAAACTTCCATATGTTAGTGATGCAGTTTTTAAAGGATGGAGTAAAAATAAATAATTTATCCCACTTCTGTGTCAGATTATGATACACTTCTGTTGTCTGTCCTCAGAGCGGTCTGACCCCTCTTCACCTTGTGGCTCAGGAGGGGCATGTTGGGATTGCTGATATACTAGTGAAACATGAGGCGTCCGTCTACGCTGCCACACGGGTAAAAACTGTTGTTTTTCTACAGAGTGCACATAATGATTTACATTATTATTGATAATAATCAATGACTACGTTTACATGTGCACCAATAATGTGATTATTTCCTGTAATCAGTAAACATGACCCAAACAATTTTCATTATTCTGATTATGCGGTAAAATTGTGGTTATTTTTAATGCCATTCTTCACATACCCCAATGCACAGCACAGATGATAAACTCTATATAGTAGGTGTGTTACTGGACTCTGTAAAATGTCTTCATTTCGATGTTTTCGACATCAGTATACTGGATTATACTCGTCGTGCAATGTCGTCAACATGAACTTAGTCCCCTTTCAGTCGGTCACTCCGACGCCACGTCGGTGACCGACGAATAGGAATCTCGCTAGAGAGGCCAATCTACTTCGAGTGTAACTAAACAAGCCAATGCACATTGGCATGCGATAATTGCATCAGCTGCGCTGCATCGCGGCACGCGCATATAATGAGCAGAAGGTGCATCTCATCTTCAGCTTTTCGCTTCAGAGCCGAGCGGTTCGTTTGTCCTGTCTCTAATCCACAAGCAGTGTTATCTAAAAGAGCCAGTTCTCAAGGAAGACGCTTTCTCTTCATTGGTGTTGGTGTGACAGTGCGATACAGCGGTGATTGAGTCCTCTCGCGTGTGTGTATATGCACCTTAAATGAGCGCTAAAAAGCTGTTCTTACAGCTGGTGACGGTGCGCTTTTTCAGAACGCTTTTTCAAGAGTGGGTGCACACTGTCTACAGGCTGCACATTCCCTGTCAGTGTTGCCGTGATCTTTTCCCCCGTGGGTGCTACAGCACCGAGAGAGAGCGAGTCTCTTAAAAGAGCTTACATGGGTGTGAGTTGCGTCTTTCTAAAGATGACATTCCACCCGTGTGTTTCTGGATGCGGTCGTTTCCTGTCCTCACTGACGGCCACAATCACTGTCTCGCATGCCTGGGAAACATGTGAGATTGTGTTCGTGGGTGGTTCATGTTTTCGCATGGAAACTGGTCGACTCTTCTTTCTCCGGAAAGCTTGAGTCCCCTCTGTTCTTGGCCAGCCGCTGTTTGTGTGTAAAAGCACAGCTGCAGGTCTGCGCGACACTCTGGGAGACCGTGGAGATCAGTGAGAGCTTCCGCCGGGCAAAACCTAAATGGGTCTCTCACTCTTCAGCGTGTCATGTGCCGTCAAGCTGCCGGGCTGCAGTGCCTTCGCAAATATGCGTTTCACCCAGTGAGCCTACTTGCACAGACCTGTGCAAAGTCAGGGGGGACGAGGAGCAGGTCCTGCTGGTGGTTCCCTATTGGCCCAGCCGGACCTGGTTCCCAGAACTCATGCTCCTCGTGACAGCTCCTCCTTGGCCCATTCCTCTAAGGAAGAACCTTCTTTCTAAGAAACGAGGCACCCTATGCCACCCACGTCCAGACCTCTGGAAACTACATGTCTGGTCCCTGGACGGGACGCGGAGGTTCTAGGTGACTTACCCCCAGAGGTACTTAACACCATCACTTCGGCACGGGCACTATCTACAAGACGTGCGTACACCTTGAAGTGGAACCTGTTCGTAGAGTGGTGGTCCTCTCCCCGAGAGGACCCCCGAAGGTGTTTGATAGGGTTCGTGCTTTCCTTCTTGCAGCAAGGGTTGGAGCGAGGGCTGTCTCCTTCCACCCTCAAAGTGCATGCTGCCACTATTTCCGCATGTCACAACTATATAGTTGCCAAATCAGTCAGGTTGGTTGTCAGGATTCTTTGGCGGGCGAGACAGTTAAATCCTCCTCGACCCCCCTCCATACCCTCTTGGGACCTTGCTCTGGTACTCCGAGCACTTCAGAATCCTCCCTTCGAGCCTTTGCAGTCAGCAGACTTAAAGATTCTGTCTATGAAGACTTTGTTGCTGGTTGCATTGGCTTCCATCAAGAGGGTAGGGGACCTGCAGGCATTTTCAGTCGACAAATCGTGCCTAGAGTTCGGGCCAGGTGACGGCCACGTGGTACTGAGACCCCGGCCTGGCTATGTGCCCAAGGTTAGCAAACGCTGCCCTCGGAGGATGCAGACCAAGCCCTGGCTTTCCCCTGTCCCGTCCGCGCTCTGCCACAGTATGTAGACTGAACTAAAAGCTTCAGGACCTTAGACCAGCTCTTTGTCTGTTACGGAGGCCAGCAGAAGGGAAAGGCTGTCTCCAAGCAGAGGATGCCCCACTGGATAGTGGATGACATCACCTTGGCTTAGCAAGTACATCCCAGTAATTCCATATGCAAAATTCCCCACGGGGTAAGTCAATATCTCATCTCCACATAACTCCTTTGGGCAAGGATGTAGCTTCCGCAGGATTCCTTTTCCAATGGGAAGGGCACGCTTTCCCAGTGTTATCAAATAGTCTCACTGAGTCAGAACAGCAGTGAGGGGCTTCTCTGTGTAAGCCCTGTCCCATCAGGTAAGAGGGAGTAGGAGGTTTACAGAGGGCGCTGGAGGGGGACAGCAGCTGTGGCCCTTTGGTAGGGATTCCTATTCGTCGGTCACCAACGTGGCGTCGGAGTGACCGACTGAAAGGGAACGTCTCGGTTATGTATGTAACTCATGTTCCCTGAAGGAGGGAATGGAGACGCCATGTCCCGCGCCACATCTGCTGTGCCACGCTGGGGCAGCCTGGTCCCCGGCTCGGCTCCTCAGCGTAAAACCTGAAGATGCAATGCAATTATCGCATGCCAATGTGCATGGGCTCGTTTAGTTACACTTATTCGTCGTTCACCGACATGGCGTCTCCGTTCCCTCCTTCAGGGAACGAGAGTTACATACGTAACCGAGACGTTTCTTTGCCACCTCAAAATTGTGATGTCTTCTTTAGCGCTATGTTTAAGAATCTGCGCATGACAACGTCATCAGTGTGCACTTTGGTCAGAGTGGAATAGATGCGATTAAAGTGTTTATTACATCTGTTTATTGCGATTAAAATCGGCATACACCACATATTCTATTCTGATTATGGTTACTACAATTATGAGATTGATCACATCAATATTGTCAAGTCAAGTCATCTTCATTTATTAAGCGCTTTTAACAATTGATTGTTTCAAAGTAGCTTTACAGAGATAAACATATAATTTAAGGTAACAGAGATTGTTTTGGCTTTATAGCGGTTCTTGAATAATGTTATTTCCAGCTAAAGTTAATTTTGATTGATTCACCTTTGAAATTATCAGACTTTAAACGCGAACCTGTGATTAACGCTGACGGCGTTCACATGCACATTCAGAATTGATTCTATAGTTATGTGCTTTTGAAAATATGTGCGCAGGTTTGTAATTCCATACAACCCAGCCTAAACAAACTACTTGTCTTGCCTATAAATTTTGATACAGAATTTTGTTTTATTTTATCACTTCGGGGTACGCGAGCCGGAATTCACAACGCTTTATCTGTAGAGTGGGAAAGGGATCCTCCATAGGGAGAGGATAGTTGACACTCCAGCACTGCATTGTCATCGGGTCCAGGCGAATCTCCTTCGTCTGATCTGGATACGGCCTGGATCCGGCAGGCTGCGGGAAAACCTCGGGATAAACAAAGACACTAATATTAGCATAGATGCCATTCTTCTTATGATGTAACGTGTACATCTGGATTTAAGGGAAGTGTTCCCAGTTCTGGCTGACCTAATCTATGCAGCCTAACATTGAATTATAGAAGTCTAAAATGTATTATGTGTATGCTAGGTCAAAGAGATGTGTTTTTAGTCTAGCTTTGAACTGACAGAGTGTGTCTGCTTCCTGGACAATGGTAGGAAGACTGTTCCAAAGTTTTGGTGCTAAATAGGAAAAGGATCTCCCGCCAGCAGTCGATTTATATATTCCAGGTATTATCAACTGGCCAGAATTTTGAGATCGCAATAGACGTGAAGGACTATAATGCGTTAAGAGCATAATGCGTTATCAATATTGTGTTTACATGAGGTAAAGTTTTGCCTAAATCTCATTATAAGGGTGCATGTAAATGTAGTCCATGATTATGATCATCATTGTTGATTTCTCTTCAGATGGGTTACACTCCCCTTCATGTGGCTTGTCATTACGGCAATATCAAGATGGTTAAGTTCCTCTTACAGCAACAGGCCAACGTAAACAGCAAGACCAGGGTAAGGGAAATATTGCTTTTGCTTTGTTCGGTTGTTTCACTTTTCAAACGTTCAACTTTGTCTCAGATGTAAACTCTAGAGACAAATTGTTTTTCTCCGAAGACAAGTCTGAGAAGCAAGAGTGTTAATTTGCACTTGACTCAATCTGGTCACTCTCTAGCAGAAACAAGTGACATGTTAAAGAGATCTTAAGTGTGGTTCTTCTTTCTGTCTTCTTCGTGGGACTGTTAGATGGGGTATATGCCGCTCCATCAGGCTGCTCAACAGGGCCATACGGACATCGTGACGCTTCTCCTGAAACATGGCGCACAACCAAATGAAATTACATCTGTAAGAGCCCAGACACTTTAAAATAATTACCGTCATTGATTATTCAAATATGCTGGACGTTGACTGATGAAATGAACAATAATATTTCCATCTGCTATAGAATGGTACATCAGCTCTTGCCATTGCAAAGCGACTTGGATACATCTCAGTCATTGACGTGCTCAAACTGGTCACCGAAGAGACAGTCACTATGGTAAGTTACACTTTTCATAAAATTAATCTGATACTATGGCTGCTATAAAATAAACTTTGTCGTAATAAACATTTGCCTTTAAGACCACCACAGAAAAACATCGCATGAGTTTCCCGGAGACAGTTGATGAGATCTTGGATGTGTCTGAAGATGAAGGTAAATACAGCTCTCGATTTAATTTCATGGTCTTTTTTAGAGCTGTATGTATTTTAATTGGAAATACAAGACTTTAAACTTTTTTAAAAATGAGTGGGCATTTAAAGAGCATCCTGAAGTAGACTCCTCTTGGTTTTTCTAGGAATTGCACAGCTAACGTTAGGTATGAATTTCCCTATTTTTTCTTCGTACAGTGACTTCATTTCAAGCGCGCACACACACAAACACATTGTCATTCCCTGGTGCACTTTGACAATTATGATGGACGTGTCATCAGCATGTGTGCATTTAAGTTAATAAGCCTTCCAAAATACTTAACTATTCCTGAAACCTCTCCCACTAACCTGCTACATCTCTTTTTATTTTTATTTTCTGGAGTAGCACAGATTTGTGTGATGGAAAGTTCAGTGGGCCGGGAACAAAAAGTGATGCATGCTCAATATTTGAACACTGCACTGCAAAAAAAGAGGTTTTGTCTCATTGTCCAAAAACTTAGATTTAAATATAGAGTTACTTGATAATCAAAATTGCACAAAATAAAACACACAGATACTTTATCATAACTCTTGTAAGGCATAAATAAACTGTATACATCTGTTGCATTTCCAGGTCATAACTTAATATTTTTCAACTAAAACTATATTGTATCTGTTCAGTAACTTCTCATTAAAGGAGTAGTTCACTTTTAAAAAAACTTTTGCTGATAATTTACTCACCCCCATGTCATCCAAGATGTCCATGTCTTTCTTTCTTCAGTCGAAAAGAAATTAAGGATGTTAAGGAATTAAGGAAATTAATTTGATGAAAACATTCCAGGATTTTTCTCCATATAATGCACTTTACTGGGCACCAAACTGTCCAAGGTCCAAAAGACAGTTTCAGTGCAAACTGCAAACTGTTCAAAGGGCTTTAAACGATTCCAGACGATGAATAAGGGTCTTATCAAGCGAAACGATCGCTCATTTAAAAAAGAAATAACAAAGTTTAAGTTTTATAAACTCAAATGCTCGCCTTGCTCTGTTCTGTGTGACTCTCCTGTTCGAACTCGTTCATCAAAATGAACGAATCTTTTTCCGAGTCAATTCGTTCATTTCGTTCGTTAAATGAATCAAATGACTCGAAAAAAGATTCGTTCATTTTGATGAACGAGTTCGAACAGGAGAGTCACACAGAACAGAGCAAGCTTATAAAAGCTTTGAGCTTATAAAACTTAAACTTTGTTATTTCTTTTTTAAATGAGCGATCGTTTCGCTTGATAAAACCCTTATTCATCGTCTGGAATCGTTTAAAGCCCTTTGAACAGTTTGCACTGAAACTGTCTTTTGGACCTTGGACAGTTTGGTGCCCAGCAAAGTGCATTATATGGAGAAAAATCCTGGAATGTTTTCATCAAAAACCTTAATTTCTTTTCGACTGAAGAAAGAAAGACATGGACATCTTGGATGACATGGGGGTGAGTAAATTATCAGCAAAAGTTTTTTTAAAAGTGAACTACTCCTTTAATGAGTGAATGCGCACAAATTTTAAATGTCATCATGTTTTACCATGCTATTGTTAAATTGACCCCCTTTTTATTCATAAAAAAAATCATAAATTATTTGAAATATCAAATTTTAGTTTTGCAAAGCATATTGTTTAATTTTCTTACTAAAAATTATGGATTATGGACTTCTTTTCAGGTCAAAATGGACCCGAATGCATTTGGAGGGTTAAATTAAATGTATTTGTTTGTTTTTGTTTTTTTGGTTAAACTTTATTTTAGGTATCCTTTTTACAGTGTGATTATACAAATCAGTGTCGAGTAATATTAATTAATATGTACTTACTCTATAATTAGGGTTAGTTTCTTGTAATTATACATGATTTACTGATATTAAATACATGTAAGATGTGTAATAGGGTCCCTGTAAAAATAAAGTGCTACTGTTTCGTTTCACAGGTAAATACTTTGTACCCAATAGGTTATGAGAAATACATTATAGTCTCTGAAAACAAGTCTTATCTTGTGCAATTTTTCTTATCAAATACATTTACAAGACAAAAACACTGATTAAGGATTTGCAAATATAACATTACTACATTATATTCATGCATTTGTTAATTTCTTCAGAATTATGATTTGCAAAATCAGTAATGTATAAAGTGTCACCACTTTTTTTTAAGAGCTTGTTGTGGAATCAATAATTAAGTCATATAAAAGCAGGCCTTATAATGTGGACAGCACTGTATTTCAGCTCCTGGTGAAGTTACAGATATTAAAGGTGTGAAAATGTTTCATATACATCCGGGCTCTCACACAGATGTTCTTCACATGGCGGCCTTGTGCAAATCGAATGCATAAATTTAAGTTTCATCATTTAATATATATATATTGAGTATATACAGCACTATACACAATATATAGGCTATGCCATATTAATTATAGGTGTTTATATGTTATACACACACATACAGTCTATGAAAGAACTGAAGCCTGCTTGACCTTATTGCTTTTGAAAGGCAGGTTTGTTGATTATGTGAAAAAAAATCATAGTTATTTTCTGCTCTACTAATTATAGTGTGTTTGTTTGCAAGACAACTTCCCAAGAGAACGGCTAATAAAATGACCTTAATAGACACAATTAAGATTGATGTCTTATTTTTTTATGAAAACAAGCACAGTTTACCAATGACTGTGCATTTAGCTGTGTGATATCACTGAAGGCACTGGGTTTTGAAGGTCATCTGTGCCTATGCTTTGTAGTTAATTTAATATTATACACACACACACACACACACACACAAATGTTTCTCATTAATTTGCTTTGATACGTTTTGTTGCAGTATGTCTATCACAAATCTTTCCCTTTTCTTCATTCTCACTCACATGCAATTCAGTGTTGGGAAAGTTATTCAAAAAAGTAATTAGTTATTACTTACTAATTACTTTTTCAACATTGGAATGAAACACATTTGAACAGTAATCATGTTACATGATTGAATTTTGACAACACAAAAATACACCAAATTGTCCTTGTAAACAAGAAGTGTGTGAACAACTGTCGTTTCTCATGGATCTCTTACTATTATCTGCCGTGTGAAGTGATGAAATGTAGTGTCGCTCCACGATTATATGTCCAATAGTTTGCAGAGTTAGGGAACGAGTTCACAGGCTTGTCAACCAATTAAAAGGAATCAAAATAACTTTGAACAAAACAATATTCATTGTTGGATGTCACATTTAGGCTTGAAAGTATTCATTGTTTCTGAAAACTGTAAATGCAAAGCAAGTAAAGACACAAAATTAATTGTGATGGGATTACTGAAACTGGTTACATTTATTAGAGTAAATAGTAATCTGATTACAGTAACGCATTACTTTCCCTTTTCAAAAAAAGTATTGTGGAAGTACCATGGTACAATTTATAAGATAACACTTTGGTATAACAAATGAATGAATACCATGGTGTTTACATAGTACTCAGGTTCTTAAAGGGATAGTTCACCCTAAAATTTAAATTATGTCATCATTTACTCACCCTGGTGTTGTTCTAATGCCGTATGCATACTTTTTAAATGTCTTGCTCATGCTCGTCCATACAATGGCAGACAGGGGCGTCACTAGGATTTTCATTTTAGGGGGGCTAAGCCCCCAATATGATTTTTTTAAAAAAAATAAAAAAATGTAACACTTTAGTTTAGGATCTAAAGATCACTATTAACCATTTTCATTACGATGCAAAGGCACGGTTTTATAATAACTGTGGTCCCTAATGTGAGGTAGGGCAAATAAGGGGGTTCGGGGTCTCCCCGACAAAATTTTGATTTCTCTGATCTACATATGTGCATTTTAAGATGTTCTGAAGGCCAAAAAACTTGGATAGTGGGCAGCTAATTATTTTTCTCTCCTCATCAGCATCACACTCTTTTTCTCTTTGTTTTTATCTTGCCCTGTCTCTTCCCCTCCTAAAGCTGAGCTTTGACTGATATAGGCTTTTCATTTTTGTCTGTCAGTGAAGAAAGTAAACATAGGGTCAATTGATAGGTTGATTTTGCCTATGAATCATTTTCTCAGACGCGTTTATTTACTGAAAGCTACTAAAGGGAATTAAGTTTATTAAATGCATTTACAATATGTAGGCTACACATTTATTATTGATCTTATGCCTAACACAGGGCCGTAGACAGGGCTTTAGTCACAGAGGTCCTAAATTTGAGGTTGGTAGGGGGTTCAAATTTTTTATTTCTCTGATATGTGCATTTCAAGACGTTTGAAGACCAAAAAAGGATAAGAAATAGCTTTAAAACCATGTCAGTGGGCAGATTATTTGTCAATACCTGCTCTCTTCTCATCTCCATCACTCTTCCTTTTTTTTCTCAGTCTCTTCATCCCTTTCTCTTCCCCTCCTAAAGCTGAGCTTTTTTAATTTACTAAAGGCTACAATTTGTATTATATCCTCAATATGTACACATTCATTATTAATCTTGTGCCTAACATGATGAAAACGGCTTTGTTAATGTTTCTTGTAAACTAATTATTACATTACATGAGTCACGTTACAGCCTATTTTCAGTTCAAAATGGCGAAATTAGACAAAACTATATTAGTTTGCCTGATTATTTTTTGTCATTCGTTTAACATTTATGACCTAAAAAAAGTAAAATATGAAATGTTAGGTTTAGCTACTTACATCTTATCTCGCACTTGACCGTACGCGTCGAGTCGCACTGTTAAAATTCGCGCTCAGCAGCGTCTGTGAACATAAAGCCCGCCTACTTTGATTTGATTGGTCATCTCAAATATTCTAACATTGACGAGCAGTGACAGACCAATGAGGCTCAGATGAACACACATGAACACACACACACACACACACTGTCCTCTGTTTCTGACGTGCTCTCTGTCGGCGCCGCTGCGGATTGAAGATGAAGAACGCGCTGAATCTGATTATAACAAGACTGAAGCGAACACAAATTTGTGTAGCCTACATTAATCGCACATTTTTAGGGGGGCTTGAAGCCCCCCTAAAAAGGGCCTAGTGACGCCCCTGATGGCAGATAATAGGGATCAGCATCAAGCTTTTTAAAAAAGATGCAAAAGTATCACAGATTAATCCCATGTGACACGTGCCGTATATTCCAAGTGTTCTGGTGGTGTACGATAGGGTTTGGTGAAAAACAAACCGAAATGGAATGTATTATTTAACGAAAATTGTGACCTTGGTCTTCTGTGCATGAGGTGCGCATTCGTGTAACTGTATCAGCGCAGCAGTTCACTCCGTCTCGCCCAGAAAAAGCACACAAGTCGTGAGAAATCAAGATTTATAAAATACAAATGCCTAGAAATCCCAATTTCAAATATCTCCAGACCAGAACTGCCTTTGTCTGATGACAGATGTGACAGATGTGAATGCAATAACTTCTTGTTATGACAAACACGACAGATAAATTCACCTCAGGTACATGTATTGTATTTGAGGAGCTCTTTTCCAAAACGCGATAAATCCATTTCAATAGTTTTCAGGAAAATATTTTTTTTTACCTAGACGCACACATTTTGTGAATATTCAATTTAGCCTGTTAAAATGTTTTTTCCCCTCAGTCTGAACATGTTGAACAATGATTATTAAATCAAACAACAATATTGTTGATGATAAATTCAAAGTAAAAAAATTTTTTTTTTCACAACGCTATAAATCCACAAAAGAAAAATCCAAAAATGGATGATTTTGGCCACTTAATTAAGTTTTGTTCTGTAGAAAGCCTTTCTTTAAAGTGAATTTCGTTTTGTATATATTGTAGGCCTATCTTAATTTTAATAATTTTTTTCATCAACCAATTGCCTGGATTTAATAAATAAGAAGCAAATAGACAATATAATCATGACATGGAGGCGCCGGCGTGGTCACTTGCATTGCACGTGAACTGGTGCGCATCTCATCATAAATTAACCGAAATTCAGCGTATGCCTCACAGGCATGAGAAAAATATCTATATAGAAAGCTTGAAATGTCTTTAAACGAAACAATTAAAAACGAATAAATAGCATAGGCTACTCTCTGATTATGTAATCCATTACATGCATTTCTCTCTAGGCGCGTTCATTACAGAGATGCTGATCGTCAATTTCATCTTTGCAGACACTGACACACAGAAAACAGTTGATTAATAAAAATTAAATAAAAATTTCGATTTTCGAACGATATTCGACTTTTGCTCTTTGATTGTCGAATGCCATTTTTGGCAGAAATTATAAACAGAAAACCTTTGGCAGCAGCATCTACCCCAGGTGTAGGTCTCACTGGCTCATCAAGGCCATCAAAAGTGTTATCACCGTTTAAAGCACTCATTTTGAGGAATGAGTGAACATAAACAAACCTCTGTTCAACGCGCCGATGTTGGATTGCGTAGAACGCTCACTGAATTCTGATTTGTCGAGAGAGGATTTATCGCGTTTAGGCTAAAAATAGGTTTGGCCTTTTGCATCTTTTTAATTTAAAAAAACTTGATGCTGGTCACTATTCACTGCCATTATATGGACGAGCACGAACGGGACATTTAAAAAAAATGGTCCATAAAAGAAAGAAGGGCGTTCGACATTATACAACACCAGGGTGAGTAAATTATGACTTAATTTTAATTTTAGGGTGAACTATCCCTTTAAAATGAACCTTGGTAGTACCATGTTGCTTCTTTGTTACTGTCATAACATGTTTCACTCACTCAACAGCTCTCACTCCATTTATATCCTCTCCATATTGTCCAATCAGTTTTCATTCAGCGTTCATTTCCTCTGGATCGCACATTTAAAACCCTTTCACTAAGTCTTGTCTTTTTCTCTTTTCTCTTGTCATCCCTCCTTGCGGCAGGCGAGGAGCTGCTGGGGAACGAGGGTGCCAGGTATTTCAAGATGGAGGACTTAAAGGACCATGATGAGGATTTCCTTTCCCCCAAGAAAGTTCTAGAGTACGAGGGAGAGTTGCAGTGATGATGTTGAAGATGAATCAGATAAATCAGGAAGTAGAGGACAGCTTATGTTGGTGGAAGACATTACGTAGAATATTTTGAACCAGATTTAGTATTGTTTGAATATAGAAAAGATTAGAGCCCAAACAGAGGAAAGGCCACTGAGATGAGTTAGGATGGGACCGAAGAACTGTCTTTTTCTGATTCCTTTGTGTCAGACTTATTTTTAACTTGTGTTCCTTAGGAATCATTCCCCTGCTCTTCCAAGGATCCCATGCGTGTCTCCCGAAACAGTCATGCTGAAAGAACATGAAATTGAGCAGGTAATATGCACACTGGTATCATCACAGGTCCCACCTTATAACTGGTGTTTTTAGACTACTACTGTGTACTTACATTTTAAGATTTAAAAGTTGGGGTTTAGATTTTTATATATATTAGGGCTGTCAAACGATTAATCACGATTAATCACATCCAAAATAAAAGTTTGTGTTTACATAATATATGTGTGTGTACTGTGTATAATTATTTTGTATATAAATGCACACATGTATATATTTAAGAAAAATATGTTAATTATATATAAAATGTTTATATTTATATAAAATATACATTATATATAGGCTACATTCAGTCTATATACAGTATATACATGCAAATATTTCTTAAATACACATGCATGTGTGGGTATTTATGTATTAAAAATAATTATACACAGTACACACACATATATTATGTAAACACAAACTTTTATTTTGGATGCGATTAATCGCGGTTAATCGTTTGACAGCCCTAATATATATATATATATATATATATATATATAAATTAATACTTTTATTCAGCAATCATGCATTACATTGTTCATAAGTGACAGTAGAGGCTTTAAAATTGTTATAAAAAAATGTATTTCAAATAAATGCAAAAAAAAAGTCTATTTATCAGAAAATCATTTAAAAAAATATCACGGTTTCCACAAAATATGAAGCAGGACAACTGTTTTCAACATTCATAACAATCAGAAATATTTTTTGAGCAGCAAATCAGCATATTAGAATGATTTCTGAAAATTCAGCTGGAATAAATGACATTTCAAAATATATTCAAATAGAAAACAGATATTTTAAATTGTAAAATTCTAATTTCTAAATTCTAATCTAATTTTTTTGTATAAAAATGTAAATAATATATGCTAACTTTCAAAGGTGTGTTGCAATGTTTTTGAATGAAGTCTCTTACCGAGGCTGCATTTATTTGATTAAAAATACAGTAAAATGAATGTGAATTGAATACATTTTACTGTATTTTTAAATAAATTAAGCCTTGGAGACTTCTTTAAAAAAACATTGCAACTCACCTTTGAAAGTTAGCATATATTGCATACATTTTTAATCTTAGTACCGTTCAGACACTTGAAATGGGCCCATATCATAGTATTCTTTAAAATACTTAGGACTACCATAGTTTTATATATTTTTAAGAAACAATTTTTGGTTACAATAATTATAAAATATAAAAACAATAATTATAGGTTACAGGTGTATATAATAATATTGTATTTTTGTAGAATACTTTGTATACACTTTATCACTACATATTAACTAGTTTTAGTCCAGTTAAATAAATCATTCAAAGAGGTAATAAAAAAAAGCATGAATACATTAGGTTAGACAAATGAAAGTTATTTTAAGGGTCAAATCAGATAACTTAAAAATATAAGATCAAAACTGCACACATTCACTTTGTACAGTGTATTTATGTGTATGTATTTTTGTAACGTGTCAATATCTACACATGTACAGCAGCAGACGCCACTTCCTTTGGCCAAGGAGTACGATGAGGATTCCCTGATTCCCAGCAGTCCCGCCACAGAAACATCAGACAATGTCAGTCCGGTGGCCAGTCCCATCCACACCGGGTTAGTCTTCTTCCCCTACCAGAAGTATTGGGGACATTTTGGAGGAATTCAGTTGAAATTGAAATATTATGAATTGGTAACCCTTTATTTTGATCGTCCCTTTTAAACATTCTGTTCACTATAAATAACTTTGCAACTACATGTCAACTAACTCTCATTAGAGTATTAGAGTATTCATTAGAGTATAGACTTTCTGCTTTATATCTGCAAACTCTTTATTGTGATGCTCCTCAACAGACATTATACTGACTATAAGTAACTTTGCAACTACATGTCAACTTATGCTAACCCAAACCCTACCAGTTTACTAATACTCTACTCACACTCTAATGAGAGTTAGTTGTCATGTAGGTTGCAACGTTATTCATAGTCAACAGAATGGGCCCTATTTTAACGATCTGAAACGCAAGTAACTTTGTGGGCGGGTCTTGGGCGCTGTTGCTATTTTACCGGCGGGATAAATGACTCTTGCGCCCGACGCAAGTTTAAAAGGGGTTGGTCTGAAGTAGCTTCATTATTCATAGGTGTGGTTTGGGCGTAACGTGAAATAAACCAATCAGAGCGTCATCCAACATACCCTTTAAGAGCAGGTGCGCATGTTGCATGGCGGATTGTTATTATTATGGCGGATTTACCAGGCGCGCGCCAGGAGCGGTTCACAGCCGAGGAGACCGACGTTCTTGTCAGGGCCGTGAAAGACAGAGAAGTGACGTTGTATGGGGATGGGAGATTTTTTTTTTCCTGGTTCTCGACGGACAAGCTAATTTGTCAGATGTCCTTATATACATATGTGTCTTGCCACTATTGGGCAAACAGGTCTGATCCGTCATCACTACAATTTGCCTGAAAAATTTGGGTAAATGTGTAAGCTAGATTTAGGCCTACATTTTTTTACATCTTCATGGACACCACAATGATTTCCCTCATGTGTTAATATTTTTCCTTGTTATAATGTATGATTTGCAAAAATAAAAACTGCTGCATCTGTGTTGATGAGAGAATCTAAGTGTATGCGCGTTGTGCACCCGCTACATTATGGCCAAACATGCGCGCTTAAAATAGCATTATGAACAACGCACAACGCGCCACTGACTTTAGACTAGGTTTTTTCTGGTCAGTGGCGGAATTGTTTTCTGGAACTGCAAAATAGCACCAGGGAATGTTTGCGCCGAAACACGCCTCCTTTTTGCGCCGACCCACCCAGGGAGCGCAAGTTCATTTCCTAGTTTACCGACGTGCGTCTGTGGAGGGAAAAGCCCGCTTTGCGCGGGTGCAAAATAGGAATGATACATGCATCAGTGTACAAAGTCATTTGCGCCGGGAGCAAGATAGGGCCCAATGTGTTAAAGGCTCATCAAAATAAAGTGAAACCAATGAATTAATCGATCAACCTATGAATTCATGCATGTCCGTTTGGTTCTGCAGTTTCCTGGTGAGCTTCATGGTGGACGCTCGTGGCGGCTCGATGAGAGGGAGTAGACACAACGGCCTGCGTGTCATCATACCTCCTCGAACCTGTGCGGCTCCGACACGCATCACCTGCCGCCTGGTCAAGCCTCAGAAACTCGCTACACCCCCTCCTTTAGTGGAGGGCGAGGGTCTCGCCAGCCGGATCATCTCTCTGGGTCCCGCCGGCATGCAGTTCTTGGGGTGAGGAAACCAAATTAGACAGAATACAGGATTTTTTGTGAAATATTGTGTAATATTTAGGAGGATCTGTTGACAGAAATGCAATATCATATAGGCTACATAACTATGTTTTCGGTGGTGTATAAAGACCTTAATGAACCGTTATGTTTTTATTACCTTAGAATGAGCCATTTCTATCTACACACACCGCGGGTCCCCTTACACTTACATGTTTCTACAGGAGCCCTAAACGGACAAACGTGTTTCGTCACTATGTTGTTCTTCCTGCTAAAAAGCGAGCTAAAGTCAGCGAATAAAACACTGACACAATGATGAACAAGTGACAATAATAATCGCAATAACATATCGTTTTACTGAGTAATTAAGTAAACCTAATTTCTTAATTTATCTTTGTAAAGAAACCTCATTGCTTAGTTCACCCCAAAATGAAAATTCTGTCAGTAATTACTCGCCCTCATGTTGTTTCAACCCCGTAAGACTTTCGTTCATCTTCAGAACACAAATGAAGATATTTCTGATTAAATCTGAGAGCTGGATCACTCCTCCATAGGCTTCTTAAGGGATCGAAACTGGCCGGCCCAAAAGTTATTAAAGACATCGTTAAAATAGTCCGAGTGACTACAGTGGCTCAACCTTAAGTTTATCAAGCGACGAGAATACTTTTTGTGCGCAAAAAACAAACAAAAATAACGACTTTATTCAACTATTCATTTCCTTCTCTGTTGGCCTCGAGTGAGTTCACGTAGTGTAACAGCGCAGCGCTTCTGTGTCGCCACCATAACTTCTGTTGGTTGCAATTCGCAACCTCACCACTAAAAATGACACACTGCACCTTTAAATTGCAAACTAACACTTTAACTCATATTGCTCCTGAAGGCCTGTGATTGTTGAGATTCCTCATTTTGCGGCACTCGGTCGGGGAGATCGTGAACTTGTGGTCTTGAGGAGTGAGAACGGATCAGTCTGGAAGGAGCATCGTAATCGATATGGTGACGAGGTGTTGGAGACCATCCTCAATGGCATGGATGAAGGTGTGTACTAATTGATGCTGCTGTTTAAAGTCAGATTAATGTGGTTATACTGTATTGACGGCTTATGTACAGTATATACAGTAACATTTGCTGTTAAATTATAGCAATTCTTATACAGTCAAACCAAAATGTATTCAGACACCTTCAACATTTCTCAAATTATCACAGTTTATTCACTATATTTTAGAAAATGGTAATAAAACATGACAAGAACTCAGTTGATATTTCACTGGTTTTGTCCATCCTTCAGTTCTCACAAATGAATTATGTTGAATATCTGTCAGCTGTTAAATTTAACTACTAAATTAGATAATGCCAATTTAGGTCAACAAATTACCAAGCAATGCTTTAATGTTGTTCAGTCTGTGGTGTAAAAAAGGTTGCATTAGCAATTAAAGAAAAAACACTTCAGCAAAACAACTGTCTGAATAATTTTTGGTCCCAAATTCGCATTTTTTTCAAAGTCTACAACGTGCATAAGCAATGCGTTTATCACTTGTTTTGATCCGGAGATTCAGTACTCTTTCAGAAGATGCGTAATAGCGCCACCTACCGTATAACAGTGAAAACACGAAAAACTGAATATGGCGTCGTAATTTTTTTTAATGTAAAATACACTTTTTTTGCTTACTTTTAATCTGTCAGACATGTTCTTGCCAGGCGTTGTGATGTCTGCATAAATGTCCTGTTTCTGAACTGTGGTCATTTTGTCTCATTCATTTGCGAACGTTGTTCATTCATCGTCTTTTCTCTGTTGACTGTGTACTGAAGACCTGGAGAGTCAGGAGGAACTCGTGAAGAAAAGGATCAGGCGGATCATCTCGACCGACTTCCCGCTCTACTTTGCCGTGGTGTCCCGTATCCAGCAGGAGAACGATCTGATTGGCCCAGAAGGGGGTTCTCTCACCAGTAAGCTGGTGCCATTGGTCCAGGCCAGTTTCCCTGAGACGGCCGTCACCAAGCGTGTCCGTCTTGGACTGCAGGTGAGATGGGAGGATGATGAGGAGGAAGATGTGATGGAAAATGGAGGAAGCTTATCTCCTGCGTATTACTATAAAGAATCTGGCAGCTTTTAGATTTTTTCTGTTTTGTTTTGTTTTGTTTTTCCTGTTCGGTCAAACATCTCATCTTTCATTTCTTGCTAATTTAACCTTGTGCCTTTGGATTGTGAATGAATGTAATTTTGTAAGTTGCTCGGTGATGGTAAATATGAAGTGTGGTATAGTATGGGATGGTATCTTTCTACTTCCTGCTTGGATCAAAACATATACAGACATATTTACAGTGCAGGAGAATAAAAGCAGCAAGAGTTGAGAATGGATGGATCGTTTGTTTGAATGTTTCAGGGCAATGGCAGGTTTTCTCTGAGGAAGTTGTAAGTTGAGAAGGATAAAAAAGCAAGCTGAAGCTTAGTAATAATTGGATGATGACTATTTTTCTGTACTATTGAAAATATCTGAAGCACCTTATATACACAAACGTCTAACTGAGATACTGACATTTTTATTATACTTTTTAGATCTTTATAGCTACACAAACATCTTTAAAGCAATTTTATATTTTATATTTCTGGAACTTAGAATGAAATGCATGTATTTTACTTTTGTTTTCAAGTGTAACAACCAGCTCGTACCAAAGCTGATTTTTTTTTGTGTGTGTTTTTAACCCATTATATGTTTAATCATTTATATCATTTGTTACATTATTTTTGCTGTTTTTTTTTTCTTTGTGAGAAGTGACCTAATAATCTTAATGTATTGACAAACTTGATCAGTTCTCATTGTGCTGGATTATAACCTATATACATTGTTTCATGTTGTTTAAAAACACTGGAAGTCAGGAAATCTGTAAAGTGGCATAAAATGAAATTCCCAGTAACATTTCATATCTTTTTCCGCAATGACGTACAGAAATGTTTCTCAGATTTGCACTCGGTTTTTGGTATTTTTGGAAGATTTGTTGCAGATAGCTCAGGTTGGTTGAATTACAGAGACAATAAAAGAAGACATATGATCCAGGAAACACGAAGTCTGTGAGAAATACTTTCAGTCAAATGTTGCTTAATTCCACTCCTGATCCAACGAATACCCAAATATGTTTTTACAAATGTACACTTTATTTATAATTCATTAGAATGTGAGAACTGTCCAAGGATTGTAATGCTTTGATATCAACATATTAACCTCAATATAGCACACCTGACAACCTAATCTGTAATGATTATAATGAACTCAAAGATCTTCAAAAGCTTTACAACTATACAGGGTCAAATTGTTGTGTCCGTGTCTTTAGTTTTTACTCAATTTTGGTTCAATGTTTGTACCACATTTTCCATTAATAAATAAGACTGCTTGACAAGCTAAATTTGGTGTCATGAATTGCAATGATTGCAATAATTAGAAAATATATTAAGATCTCTTCTGTCGATTCTTTCCCTTGATTTCTTCTCATAAAAAATGTTGTTTGTACTGAACCTCGCTCTCATTTATTCCTCCCTCCATTCATACGTAAATATACCATTTGCTATTTCTCCGTGTCTGACTCTCATGCCGTTTTCTTCTCTCTCACCTTTGCTCTTCCCCACCCCATCTCATCTTGTGCTTTGCGCTCTTCCGCACTGTTTCGGTGTTCTCCTCGGCACTCAGGCCCAGCCGGTCCCCGATGAGCTGGTGGCCAAGCTTCTGGGGAACCAAGCCACGTTCGGGCCTGTGGTGACAGTAGAGCCTCGCCGGCGCAAGTTTCACCGTCCCATTGGCCTGAGGATTCCTCTGCCTCCCTCCTGGAGGTCGAGTCCACGGGACGCCGGCGAGGGCGACACCACCAGCCTCCGCCTGCTCTGCAGTGTCATCGGTAACCAGACATGCAGCTTTTTACATTGCAAACAATGGTTACACTTTATTTGGTAACACTTTGTTTTACAGTGTCCTTGTTACATGTACTTACCATAGTCATAACAGTAAATTATGCATAATTAAATGCAACTAACCCTAAACCAAACTCTAACCCTATAGTAAGTATATGTAAATAATTCATATTACTCCATACTTCACCTTAAAATAAATTGGGTTACACTTTATTTTAAGGTGTCATTGTTACAGTGTAGTTATATATTTAAGTACTGAGTCATATTAAGCAACTACATGTTCTTCCTATAGGGTTAGGGTAGGATTAGGTTTTGGTTGCATGTAATTACTAATTATGTATAGTTTACTGTTATTACTATGGTAAGTACATGTAACATGTGTAACAAGGACACTGTCAGATAAAGTGTTACCATAAATTGTTACCCTTTATTTTCAGGTGTCTTTGTTACACTGTATTTATACATTTAAGTAACATTAAGTAACTACATGTACTTAGGTTATGATTAGGGTTTGGTTTAGGGTAAGTTGCATGTAATTATGCATAATTTATAGTTATTATAACTACATGTAACGTGTAACAATGACACTGTAAAATACCCCCCAAAAATATTTTTCTTAATCATTATTTTCTGGTGATGAAAAATCGAAACGTCCTTAAAACGGGATCATTTTACTTGAAGCAAAATTGTGTACGTTTATTTTTCTTATTCTATTAGATATTTATTTCTACATTCAGATTTATACAATTGCTAAACGGTGTTGTTATTGTTAACTACAACTACTTTTTTGTTCATTACAATAAAGCTAAAATAAAAGGAAATATAAGTATTAGATGAACTACTTAAAAAGGCTTCAAAAATCAGAAACTAACTGAAATAAAATGTAATAAAAATTACTAAAACTGAAATGCAAATAAATTAATGCTATATATATATATATATATATATATATATATATATATATTAAACTATAATAAGTACATAACAAATTTACCAAAACCTAAACTAATATAAAAAAATATAAAAAAAAAAGCTAATTCAACATATTAATACATACTATAATAATATATAAATAATAATATTGTTGCATATGCATTACAGTTTTTCTTCTTTTCTTTAAGGGTGTTTAGATAAATACTGATTGGGAAAATGAGTTTATATCATTATGTAATAAAATGGGGGAAAGTTAAATGTACAAATATATGTGTAGGAAACAATAGGTGCTAATTAAACGTGATGCAGTGTGTCGTTTTTAATGTTAAAATATTTTCTAGTTGAATGTGCAAATACAATTAAGGAAGCCATTCATAGTTTGACTGGCTCTTTAAAATACATTTTTTTAGGGATGAATAATAGCTTATATCATACGGCTTGTTGAAGGGGGTGTAGATTATACAAAAATGAGCAAAAAAAAGTTGCATTTAAGGAGATGACAAATCTATATCTAACTAGAATATAATAGACACACCCTCTGAAAAAACTGAAACACTGAAAAAAAAAAGACACAAAAATGAGTTGCAATTGATGCCACTAGAGGCACAGAAGTTGCAAATCTCAACAAAGGTTCAATATTGATCAATGCAAGGATTATGCTTTCTTATATTATACTATTCAAAAACCATCATTTTAAAACCACAGTAACCAGATTTATCAAATGGGACGCCCAAAGCAAGGCTTTTTTATAAGGGTTTTTATTTTTGTGTTTTTATCCATTGCATGTTTATTTTCACCCGGATTACTCTACGTTTCATAGGTGGCACAGCTCCTGCCCAGTGGGAAGATATAACTGGCACCACCAAACTTATGTATTCCAATGATTGTGCCAGTTTCACCACCAACGTCTCTGCCCGGTAAGCCGTCACTGAATACCATAACCTCGACATCACATGTTAGTTCCTCTAGGACTTCTCATTGAGTGAACACTATTATGTGAAATATTTTTGATTAAATTCTCAATTTGTGAAGCACTTTGGGCAACAAAGTTGTGTTTAAATGTGCTAAAAGTTGAATTTGAAAGTATTATTTGACCTTGCTCGGTTTATAAACCTCCCTCACTCTACGTGTTGCTCTCCCACAGTTTCTGGCTGGCAGACTGTCCTCGGACGGCGGAGGCCGTGTCCTTCGCTAACCTTCTGTACCGCGAGCTGTCCGCCGTGCCGTACATGGCCAAGTTTGTAGTTTTTGCAAAGATGAATGAAGCCAGAGAGGGTCGTCTCCGTTGTTATTGCATGACTGATGACAAAATGGATAAAACCCTGGAGCAGCACGAGAACTTTTCTGAAGTGGCTCGTAGCAGAGACATTGAGGTCATATGATATAGTGTGTTATGTGCTTCATATAGACGATACATCTACAATGCATCTATTGTGTTTACAGCAAGTGCCATTATTTCTACAATAATACATTTAAACCTAAAAACAGAAAGTCAAAATGAAATAAAAATGGACCCTGTTAAAGTCAGCATGAAAAGAAAGTCTTTTCTTCTCTATTGTGACGTATATCCGAGTGAAACGACTTCTGGAACAAGAACAAATGTAGGGCGGGGCTTGATTTTGTCTGTGGGGATTTGATTGGATAGTTGGATGGTTGTGGTTTGCTATTGGTGGATCTCATGTGAGTGACAGGTTTCCCCGCCCTCATCGTCAGAGAAGAGACGTCACTACATGACGGAACAGTTATTTTGATTAAAGATCACAAGGATGCGTGAATTTTAAGAAAATGTGCACGAATAAATCATTTATAATAAATTCCACAATATTCCATAATAATACAAGAATTGTCAAGTTTGATTTCATGGTCTTGGTCTTACTGTACCTGAGTGCACAATTCTCCAAATTAAAGTATTAACAAAAATAATTGTTTTAGTAATTTTTCGTATAAACATAGTAACATGTTTCACCATTTAAACAACTTTCAGCTGACATCACATTGAAAAAAAAAAAAAAAAAAGGTAACTGATTGTATTCAACTAATATAATTTAGTTTTGTTGGTATACATTAAAGTAGTTAGGTCGATTCAGCAATATTGTATATATATATACTGTATATATATTGCAGGCTACCCCTTTTTACAGTGTGGGCGTGGAAAATAATTGTAACCAAAAGCCAGATGGTGGTGTTTCAGAAAATAAGTATCTTTCCATAATTGAACACAAAATGACATTTGAGGTTTGGCTCTATTCTAGAATGGAAACCCCACTTTTCACAATCCAATCAAATCCGCATAGATAACATTCAAACCTACATTTTTTTTCTCTCTCTCTTTCAATATTCTGAAATACGTGACATTACAGAAGTAAATGTGTTGCTTATAAAGTTTCATGTTGACTTTACTAGATATTGTCAAATGTGATTGATTTAGGGTGCATCTACTGTAAATCTACTGTAACCCTAAATACAGCGATTGGTGTTTGTTCTGTAGGTCATGGAGGGCATGCCGTTGTACTTGGAGTGTTCAGGAAACCTGGTTCCCATAAGGAAAGCCGCCCAGCAGCCTCGCTGTTTCAGCTTCCAAGCCTTCAGAGACAACAGACTGCCTGTGTCTGTCAAGGTAAAGCCATCACACACAGTTCGATTCAATTCAATTCACATTTATTTGTATAGCGCTTTTCACAATACACATCATTTCAAAGCAGCTTTACAGAAAATGCATGAGTCCACATTAGAATTTAGAGTGATCTGTTATCAGAGTAACTGTAACTGTATTTCAGAAATGTACATATACAAAATCACAGTTAATTTAAACAATGTAATCATTTAAGGCAGAAACAATGAGCTCGTTGAAGTAATGAATACGTGTTTGTTACATGATTATGACATTTAGAAAAGTTACAGGTCATCTCTGCTCAGTTGCTCAAAACTACATTTTTATTGATTACAAAATGGATTCTTTCACCCATTGTGAAGTTAGGGTTTATTTGGTTGGTTTATTTTGGTTATTTTGCACAATATCCAATTCTCTCTTTTCTAAACTAGCTTAAAGAAGACAGTCTGCAAGGGCTGTCATGATCCATCGAGTATCTGTGTATGGAACAGACCTGACATTTACATTGTGAAAGTCTCATTCACACTTGCACACATTCAAATCCGGTACACGTTTTGGAGCTTTACACGTCATCAAATGCTTTCATTGAAAAAAAGAATGAAAGAAGAAATTAGACATACTGGAAGAGCTAATCTAAATTTTCATTTGATAATATTTTACATAATAAATTAAATTTTTTATGTATAATAAAAAGAAATCTAACAAAATAATTTATGACTCATGTAATATTTATGAACAAAGAATTGCCTGTATCATCACATGTTCATAGTATTTCCACTTCATTTCCTTTTCTCCCAGGTGCGAGACAGCAGTAAAGATCCCTCTGGCTTTTTGTCTTTCTTGCGCAAATCAACCAAATACGAAGATTGTCAACATGTTTTGTGCAACCTCAACGTTACTATGCCACCATGCATTAAGGTAATAACACAAAGGTCAAAATATGTCACATGCTTACATTCCCTACACAAACACTCATATATATACACTCTCACCTAAAGGATTATTAGGAACACCTGTTCAATTTCTCATTAATGCAATTATCTAATCAACCAATCACATGGCAGTTGCTTCAATGCATTTAGGGGTGTGGTCCTGGTCAAGACAATCTCCTGAACTCCAAACTGAATGTCAGAATGGGAAAGAAAGGTGATTTAAGCAATTTTGAGCGTGGCATGGTTGTTGGTGCCAGACGGGCCGGTCTGAGTATTTCACAATCTGCTCAGTTACTGGGATTTTCACCCACAACCATTTCTAGGGTTTACAAAGAATGGTGTGAAAAGGGAAAAACATCCAGTATGCGGCAGTCCTGTGGGCGAAAATGCCTTGTTGATGCTAGAGGTCAGAGGAGAATGGGCCGACTGATTCAAGCTGATAGAAGAGCAACTTTGAAATAACCACTCGTTACAACCGAGGTATGCAGCAAAGCATTTGTGAAGCCACAACACGCACAACCTTGAGGCGGATGGGCTACAACAGCAGAAGACCCCACCGTGTACCACTCATCTCCACTACAAATAGGAAAAAGAGGCTACAATTTGCAAGAGCTCACCAAAATTGGACAGTTGAAGACTGGACAAATGTTGCCTGGTCTGATGAGTCTCGATTTCTGTTGAGACATTCAGATGGTAGAGTCAGAATTTGGCGTAAACAGAATGAGAACATGGATCCATCATGCCTTGTTACCACTGTGCAGGCTGGTGGTGGTGGTGTAATGGTGTGGGGGATGTTTTCTTGGCACACTTTAGGCCCCTTAGTACCAATTGGGCATCGTTTAAATGCCACGGCCTACCTGAGCATTGTTTCTGACCATGTCCATCCCTTAATGGCCACCATCCTCTGATGGCTACTTCCAGCAGGATAATGCACCATGTCACAAAGCTCGAATCATTTCAAATTGGTTTCTTGAACATGACAATGAGTTCACTGTACTAAAATGGCCCCCACAGTCACCAGATCTCAACCCAATAGAGCATCTTTGGGATGTAGTGGAACGGGAGCTTCGTGCCCTGGATGTGCATCCCACAAATCTCCATCAACTGCAAGATGCTATCCTATCAATATGGGCCAACATTTCTAAAGAATGCTTTCAGCACCTTGTTGAATCAATGCCACGTAGAATTAAGGCAGTTCTGAAGGCGAAAGGGGGTCAAACACAGTATTAGTATGGTGTTCCTAACAATCCTTTAGGTGAGTGTATATATATATTTGTTCTCTAACAGTGATTTATTTCTTTATAACAGATCATAGGAAGTGATGAACGAAGGAGGACTCTGACACCTTTGGCTCTGAGAGAAAGATACAGTGCTTTAAATGAACCAGCCTTGGGTAAGATTGCTCCCACACTGACAGCTCCTGCATGTTAAGCCCCCAAATCTCATACAACCTTTGCCTGACCCTGCTTTGAATAAGATGTGAGCTGCAGCATCAGATTGCTGAACTCTTGAGCCAATGATGGTCTGGTTTCTGCAGCATCACTGAGCGCCATGGAAAGGACGGAGTTAAAGATGGCTTTAATAGCTGAACAGCTAGGCCTGAGCTGGGCTGGTGAGTGTGTGGGTTTGAATGCACTTCTTTCGCTTCACAAGCAGAATGCTTAACTGGCCATGTCTTGTCAAGGCAGATGTCCATTCAAAATGTTTTGACAAGTCATTTACTTTAAGGTCCCAAATTTACCACAATGTCTAGCATGTGCAGATGAGATCAAATCTTGACTAGCTTTGGCTTAATTCTTTGGCTTTACAAGAGATAATTTTGCACAAGCTAAACTTTTGTCATGCTATAGGGGCTTCATACGGGGGCCTATTCATGCAACCTAATAATCAACTGTTGAACTAATTGACAAATCAATAATCAATTAATGATAAAATTAGGACATTTGACAGTTATTGTATAAACAGATAAATGAAGGAATGAATACTAATAAAACAATTAATTATTGTACTTAAAGGGATAGTTCGGCCAAAAATGATATTTAAACCATGCATTACTCACCCTCAAGCCGTTCGAGATGCATATGTCAATCTTGTTTCAGACGAACACATTTTCAGTTATTTTAGAAAATGTCTTAGACCCTTCAGTGGATATAATGTGAAGCAATGGGGTCCACCTCCTTCAAGTCCCAAAATGTGCATATATCCTTCACAGAAGTAATCCATCCGGCTCCGGGGGGATAAACGAAGGCCTTATGAGGGTAATCCGTGCGGTTTTGTCGTAAAAATATAGATATTTAAAACTTTGTAAATAAAAATATCTGACTTCCGGCAACGATCGATGCGCGTCCACGGGTGATGGAAGTCGGCGTACGAGGTAGGACGTAGCGTCGTGACGTAGAACGAACGCGCCCGCGCAGCCAGAGAGCAGAGCAAAACATAACCCGTGAACGTGCGTCGATCGTTGCCGGAAGTCAGATATTTTCATTTATAAAGTTTTAAATATGTATATTTTTACGACAAAACCGCACGGATTACCCTCATAAGGCCTTCGTTTATCCCCCTGGAGCCGGATGGATTACTTCTGTGAAGGATATATGCACATTTTGGGACTTGAAGGAGGTGGACCCCATTGCTTCACATTATATCCACTGAAGGGTCTAAGACATTTTCTAAAATAACTGAAAATGTGTTCGTCTGAAACAAGATTGACATATGCATCTCGAACGGCTTGAGGGTGAGTAATGCATGGTTTAAATATCATTTTTGGCCGAACTATCCCTTTAATTATCTAAGCACTTTTCATTGAATTCAGTCTGTAAATTAACTTAAAAATAAGGAGATTTAAATTAAGTAGATTCTTATAAGTAGACTCTTATATATATAGTTTTGTTAGTTTAGTCAATTTAGGTCTACAAAATGTAGCAATGATGTGAGGTTTGGAAGGAGGCGTGTCAGATTGTGTCATACACTTTCATATCATATATGCAAATAAATGCACATTTTTCTTATTTCAACTTTTCATTTCCTGCAGTGTTTTTTGTCAATACTCTTGTCAACACATAATTACTTTAATCTTCAAGAGCTACAGATGCCTATTATAATGTTTTTTTTTTTACCTGTTTTTTTTTAATAAGTGGCTAGGAATGCACTGGCGTAACACTAGAGCATAAATATAGACCTAAAACATAAATCCGTGAGAAAATAAATGTGCGAAGCTTTTCAACGTGTTTATTTTGACACTGATTTCTGATTTCTTTGTTGATTGTTGATTCATTTATTTTTGCTTTAGCTGTTTATCCACCAATTTCTACAATTCATATGTGATTGATTATTGATTTGTCAGTTTATTGATACAAAAGTATTTTATTGAGTGGCACAAATGTAGCCCTCATCCTTCACTATATCATGCTTTAGTCTAATATGAGTCAGTTCATAGTGAAGGAACAAATTCATTCATGCTAGCACATAATGTATCATATCTAATTCCTGTGCAGAGTTGGGACGTGAACTGCAGTTTAATGTAGATGAAATAAATAAGATCCGTGTGGAGAATCCCAACTCCCTTTTAGAGCAGAGCTCAACACTGCTCAACCTGTGGGCCGCTCGAGAGGGGAAGAAAGCTAAAAGTGAGTGCCACAGTGTCCATTCACTATGATCCTATAAGAATACCTAAATGATTTGCGAGCAAATTCGACCTTATTCATCTGTCTCATGTGACGTAACTGTATGAAAATGCTGCCATATTTGTTGCTATACATATCAGCATGCTTTTAATCTGCAGTGATGTGGGATGTAGAGTTATCAAAACTTCATAAAGTGAGTACCCAGTTTGCAGGAATGCAAATTAGCTGTCTTGCTGCGCTTCAGGCCCTGCCTTTATCATGCAGTCTCCTCCCTCTCACCACCCCTCTACCCTCCCACCTTACCATGGCTTTCCAAACCCCCATTTATGAACCCTTTTCAAACCAGAGGTGTAAATAACTGTTGTTGAAACAGGAGAGTTTCGAGTCTCTTCAAGGCTGCGCCGCACTTATCATCTTGGGATGTCACATCTATTGACTGCCAGGGCTTGACATTAACTTCTTTGCTCACCAGCCACTGTGGCTAGCAGTTTTCCAAAGTTACAGGCCACCCAGCATTTTCACTGGCCACAATTTTGACATCGATACCATGGGGAAAATATATATATTTTTCATATTATCTCATAATTTGGCAGCAGGTATGTTAGGCTGCTGTCACTTTAAGACCTCACGCATTGATCCTTTATACTGTTACACGTGTTTCCTTTCTCAACTGTTCACGTTCACTTAAAACATAACTGGCTGTGTTTACATGTATATTCACTAGGGGTGACCCCGAATAGTCGAAGATTCGATGCTTCGATAGGAGGAGCCTGATTCGACTACCAATCTCACGGTCGAATCTTCGCAGATGTGTTATTAAACGAGGATTATGTCATTTTGGCTATATGAGTGTGCTCAATGTCTGATTTCACATAGAACTACTGGTTTTCTGTCAATATGTTAATATACAGCCTATTATGATAATGCTGTCGATAAAAATGTGCAAAGAAAGAAGCTTTTAATAAATATTTTAACGTGCGCGCAGGGTGAATAAATCCAAACACCCCGTGACAGATTTAAGTTTCACTTTCGATATCCGTGACCGACAGAGGAGCGTCTTGTCGGCAGGGATTTAAATCTTTAAAAATGTCTGGGATAAGACAATCTAAAGATGCACACCATCAGAAAGGATATACTCCAAGGCTGGATTTAGCATCAGGAAAGCACTTCTGCCGGCCAACGTTAACAGGTTGGTTTTCCTCGGGACGTTCTAAAACGCTTAACGTGAAAAAAAGCTTTTAAAACGCTTAAATGGCACTTTTACGTGCTTAATGTATGTACACAGTAGGCTACACACCTTAAGAAACCATTCTATGTGCAGATAAGCAGATGAACCCAGAATATGAACGCAACGCGTTTCTCCTATTGAAAGTCACGTGAAGCTTTTTCTTTAACGGTTTTCTATGGGAGGAAAATGCTTAACGTAGCCTAAGTTATAATAAAACGCGTTGCGTTCATATTCTGGGCTCATCTGCTTTTCTGTAAGCTATATAGTATGCTTTATTAATATAAGGTGTGTACAGAATTTGATCTTTTAATATAACAGTTTTAGGACAAAGCCGTTAAGCGTTTTTCACGTTAAGCGTTTTAGAATGTATTTTATCCGCGCACACAATGTGAAAAGACTCAAACGGACACAGGCCGAGTGAAAGACTGGATTTAGTTTTTTCGATCAGGTATGGATAAGTGATTTCAAAACATTTCAGCCGGTTCTAATTTGATTTTTGGATACTGTGAACACGTTATAGCTAAAAAGACTGCCGCTCTAGTTTAGCGTTTATTGTTGTTTCTGCAGTTAAAAATACAAAGTTGACAATCCTGGCCATACTTTCGTTATTTTAATAATTTCTTTATTTTTATTTTATTAATTGATCACTCAGGGTGATCTAATTTAACTATTTGTGACTTGTGTTTTGAATATTTGTTCCCCTGCACTTTAGGCATTTTGCACACATTTGTTCTGCTTCTTGTGATTTGATTCTGACTTATTTCGTTTTGTATTTTTATTTATTATAAAAGTAGCCTATATTATGTTCTTAATTGTTGATTATTTTTCAGTGCATCGATGTTGCGCTGTAGGCCTATAGAGCATGCTCGTACAGGCAATTCAGCCAATTTAATTTGATTTGCATGTGAAATGCAAATCCTATCTGCAGTGTGGCCTTTCTGCAGTTATTTATGTTATTTCTTAGTTTTTATTGATCCAAAATGTTTTTATACATTTTCTTCTATCTTTGTGTGATGTTCTGTACATCGCGGCTTTAAAATGTTAAAGCCCCGCCCCCTCCCCAACACCACACACATGATTCGACTATTAGTCGACTATAGGCAGGACCTGACGAATCTGATTCGACTATGAAAATCCTTAGTCGGGGACACCCCTAATATTCACAAAGACCAGCTTTTTGACATTATTTTGTGTGTATTTGACTGTGTAAGTGCAATAAGCAGAGAAAAAGAACTCAATTTAGCATTGAGAGGCGGCTTTATGTGCCACACTTTGGGTGCACCCGCGGCGCTACCATTGGGCCTGGGCCCACCCATTTTAGGTCCGGGCCCGCCCCTTTTTGACCCAGGCCTATAGTGAGTAGTGAGTGATTTTCATTCTAGCAGCCCGAGGAAAGCTTTGAGTGAAAGCTTCTCAACCAATCAGTGGCTTCTACCCCACGTGTGACTTAAGGCGGTCGCACACCGGACGAGAAGTGGAGCGCCGCGTCTTTAAAATTCAAACACATTTTTCTCTATGAGTGTACACACCGGCGGCGCCATTCGTCGTCTGCGGCGCCCAGCAACGGCTCAGGACCTTGTTCAAAATCGCGCCACAGAGCGCCATTTGTTTTATATTAAATTTAAATGTATTTGTCTCAAATCGTCGTTAATGTATATACTGACTTCACCCTGTGCTGCAATATACATTTAGTTTTATATTCATTTACAGAAATCAGCTGCTTGAATGAAAATTGCTGATGTTATCGAATTTTCAGCTGATATTCTCAATTCATTCAGTTAACGGACGCTCTGAGGTAAAGTGTTCAGACTGCAAAGTCAGCAACGATTGTATTTAATTGTACAGTACAATCATAACATAGTACAGACATAATCTTAATTCCATAATGTCCTTAAACATAACAGTATTGCTGGCCATAAACTGAGAAAGTGCGCGTCCAGTGTGCGATACCTCGAGTTGTCCTAGACACGACGCGGCACAGCGCTGCGCTTCTTGTCCAGTGTGTGACCCCCCAGTTAGGCTAACGTTACTGCACTGAGCTGAGGACAGCGACACAAGAGCCACACAGGTAGGCTACTGAGTCGCTGTCCTTAGTGCCGCAGAAAAGCGCTGAAACGGAGATGAAGGGGAACCCGTTTTTTTTTTTTTTTTTGCTTATTTTAACTGGCCCATCCAGTTTTCTGGAGGCCCACCTACAATCAAATTCCTGGCGCCGCTTGTGTTTGGGTGTGAGCACAAAATCTGTGGGAATGAGTAAAATTATGTGCAATAAGCTCAATCCCTTGCCGAAATTCAAGCCCTGTAACACCAACAATATTCATCCAGAGCAAATGAAACGAGTGAGTGAGGGGAGACGGGTTTGAGAGATGAGAGAGAGAGAAAGAGCAGCTGTTATCTTGTATCTATTCTGAGGAAAATGAGTGTTGGAAGCTTTACAGAGGTTACGGTATCGACATGTATTGAAAAATCTGTATTTTTAACAACACTACATTGCACTTAGCTTATTATTTCAGATGCCTTTTTAAAAAATGTATATAAAATTCAACCCGACAAAGTGGCTAGTGGGCAGGTGGCAGGTGTTAATGTCAAGCCCTGTTGACTGTATTTGCTGATATCTCAGTGATTAGGTTTGAATTGATATAATGTGTGCCGCAGCACACAAATCAAACATGGCCTTGTCCAAATCTGTGTGGCAATCATGTTGAGAGGAAGGACTCCGGATGTGGACTTTAGGCTGGGACTGGAGCAGTACTTCCCAAATCTGTTCCTGGAACCTCCCTAACAGTACATTGGTAATGGAGGGTGCAGAAAATGGGCTTTTTTGAGGGCCTCAAGGTGCAGAAATATGACTCCTTTCAGTTGTCCCTTGCCATATAGCAATCTGCAAAGCGTTTCCTAAAAGCATTGTAAGCCTAAGTCAGGGATTCCCAAAGTGTGGTGCGCGCACCCTCAGGGGTACGCGAGCTGTCACCAGGGGGTGCGCGAGAGGAAAAATGCAATGGCGGTCTGTTTTTTTAAATGGGATTTTTTCCTTACAATAAAAAAAAAAACATGAACTGTAAACATTTCCTTTGTAATCGCTTATATTTTAAATAAAAAAACTATTATTTGTTAGTTTTTAATAAAAACGTATAAGACAGCTGCTGTCTTCTTCTAAACACTGCTCTGCACACGTTATCAACTTCTAAATTCAAATGTGCTTTCGCGCGTTGGCTGGCGCTTAGCCAGTGCTGTCATAGCATATATCACAACTATTGAGTGTTTTCAACCACATAATGTTTATTTTAAGTTTCAGACATTTAAATATACATAAGTACTAGCAAAACAATGATTTTGATTTTGCTGATATCTATGGATAAGGCAATAATAATCATTTTTATTATAAGATGACACGTTTTCTTCATATCAGATACACATTGTGTAGAACGTAGCTTCACATTTTACCCTATTCTTCTCCCAGTTCACCAGCCTCTTACGTTCATGTATTTCGTGAGAAGGGGAGAAACTGACGTGTTGTAAATCCAACAGATCCGATTCTTCTCTGAACTGTGGCACAAACTAACATGACGCCGCCCATCACGCATACAGCTCAACTAACGCAATCGTTATGAAGGCGTTTAAACAACACAACGCGTCCACTTACACATATTTGACAATCGGAATATCAGTGTTTCATGCTATAGCTAATACATTTGTGAATATTTTTGATAAAAAAGGAAAAATTACATAAAAGCAGATCCTCATTCATTCAGCGCTGTGTTGTGGTTGCGCTGTG